CACGACTTGAATGGTATTAACCTTTATGAAAATGAAAGCTGAAACAGGTAGAAACTCACCTTCCTGATACTTTCAGGATGGCCTAACCAATTAATTTCTGGTCATTATCATTATTAAGTGTGAAGCGATTTTCACAGTGATCGCTCATGCGTAAACTTCACTACTAATATTCCTCTTCACTAGTGAACGGTGGCTATCTGTTGGTATTCCTGAACAAACTATGTGAAATTTAGCAATGGAATTGATTCACCTACTAACATTTTTCTTGATATACAGCTGTAAACATTCTCATAAAAAACAAATGACCGTAACAAGGGTGGTTTTAAGGAAATTGAAGTTTGTACCTCCCTACTTAGTTCAAACCGATAGTTTAAGATTTCAGGAAGTGGTGATATATCTTGAACTGCCCATCCTTCTTACAACCGAGTTGTACTTCGATTAGCCCTCAACGGCGTGAACGAGACATCTCCGAGCTACCTCAGTCACAAAGTCATCGACGGACTTGCATTCCTTGCCGAGTATTTTTTGCCTAGTTTGACATTGCTCACATACGTTGATTCCACCAAACGCAAGAAATGCTATGAAGACACCTGTGGTGAAGAACCTGAAAACTCTTTATATCTTCTACTTTTAACGGTCATATCTCACACGCATAACAGGAGATAACGGACTGCAGCCAAGTATACTCGTCTTTTAATAGGCAGTCGAATATCGTGTCAGATATAGTGTAAGTTGGCCCATACCAAATAGACATTTTGTATTTGAGCTAAGATTTTGTCGTCAAGCAACAAACTTGAACTGATGCAACTTCTCAAATAAGTGAAGTGGTTAGCGTATTCCAAGTAAGTGACTTCCCATCCTTAACCTCGGAGTGGCTGCAGACCAATCCTGAGGCATCACCTTACACTAAACAGCTGTGAAACGTATGTCAAACATACTCAAGGCATTCAAGAAACTTTGTATTTTATCAGCGCCTTCGCCTAATGGGAGAACGTCATTTACATCCTCCAAGTCTAACTTCAAGCCAGTACACCAATCTCTGTAAGGTGAAACGTGCCTATAGTTGTGCCCATAAATACATCTATAAAGCAGTTAAACAGGAACGATGACAGCTGGCATTCTTGGCAGACACTACAAGTTCTGATCAATTCAGATGACAACACTCCGTAAGCCCTTATACATCTGAGTGGATTCGAGTAGAGCTTTCAATACCGATACATACTCGCGAGTTTGCTGTTCCCGAGTTTCAGTTGGATGTCGGATAACTATGAACCGAAAGATCTTGGGAACGATTTCAGTCAAACTAACCCCGTATGGTTGTCCTTTATGATCAGTGAAGTAGGTCAGTCTGGTGGGAATGCTTCTGATTCTCATACGCTAGTTAGTGCTTCGATTACTGTGCTTAGTAATTTCCAGCCCTCTGGTGACAAGCCGTCAAATCCTGCTGATTCGCATCGTCCCAGCCTTCTAAACTTCGAGAACGGACATCTACGACCTACTTAGATCCATTCTGAATGCCGAAAACCGGAAGTTTTGCTGCGTGTCAGTTGAAATGTTCTTCAAATTGTTTTGCCCAACGTCCTAGCCACCTCCCCTGAGAGGTTACAAGGGTGTCATCCTTTTCAGTGAAGGTTTCTCTAACCATCTTCTTCTTGCCAGTATCCTTATTGAGCCTTAATAACTATCGAGTATTACTTAATGCTGATGCTTTCCACACCTATTTCACTCTCGTCACCTACCACCGTTCATGATTACTGCAAAAACACTTATTCCATTTGAGTTTGTTGTGATCAGAGTCAGCTGGAATCGGTCTTCTTGTACCAATCAGTTTGGATGACGTTGCAGAAATCCAGTGACTTTTACTAACTGTCACCTCTATTTTCACAGCAGACAATACCAAGTCAGGTTTCCTTAGGATGGACATCGCTATCAAGTTCAGTTAGATGCTTCTTCTTCCTTAAATATGTACTTGATGTTCTCATCTTCCACTCGAGCATAGTTAGGATTTGCCGTTACCTGCGACCAATAAGGCGCAGACATACGCATGTCCATACTTATACATGGTCAGAGCTTTAACAAGTACTTCGGAAAGAGCTGCATTCCATCACCTATCCTTTCCAACAACGGTTTGTAGCAATATGACCTATGTCTATCTATCGTTCGTTTGATGGCAGCGGAAGCCAAGTGAGACAGTGTCTTTTCTCTTGCTTAAAGTTAGTGTTGGCCAGATACAAGTGATTGTTGGAACATATTTGCAACAGACAATTACCGTTGTTGGTTCGTTGGCACGCGATTCCGTAGATACTGAGATGCCTTCCAACTGACTCAGCTTCCATACTTGAGAGCTGAAGCCACCTGCTACAATGACTACATTTGAGCAGTTTTTAGTATGTAGTATATAATCAAAAGCTTTTGATGGAGTTAACCCTTCGTATCATCCGCACTGCAATCGGTGGGCGCGTAGGCAGAGATTATGAATAAGCAGCTACAAATCTAGTTCTTACAGATCGATTCAGTCAAACAGGACACAAACGGCTGTTGACTGGTATCCATCAGAGAAATATGCTTTCTGCGCTACGGCTTAAGGCTGTGTCTACAGCACCGAGTCCACAGAAGCTAGGCTACTGAATCTTCGCATACTTCTAAGGTGAATTTTGAAGATTCACAGCAATGGCTAGGTGAGGTCAAGAGAACAACCAAATTTAGGATCTGTAAACGTATCTCAGAATCACAGCATATATATATATATATATATATATATATATATATATATATATATATATATATATATATATGGCTCGAAATTCTCGAGTACTAATAAGAGATGCCTATTGTCCCATTTAGGATAGAGCTCAAGGGCTGAAAGCTGAAATTGACGGTGGTGTTTTAATAGATTTGGAATGATGTTTCTACGGCTTGAATCGTTGGCAGTGGTTACAAAAGTAGACGTTGAGGAAGTTGTATGCTGATATCAGAAAGTGAAGAAAAGAGAGGAGATAAAGATCAGGTGGGTAGGTTTTGATGAGTTTTTGCATACAGCTGAAAGCGTGCAGGCAGTTGGCACTTCTCAGCAGTCTACGTCATGTAAGTTGTTTTGGTAGGGTAGTTAGAAGAAAAGAAGGATCCCTTTTGTGTGACGACAGAGCCTATGAGACGTCTGTTTGAGGCGTGTCACACATAACCTCTATAGGAATTGTTGATCTTTCTGACGCCAGATAAGAAAGACGCGTATCATCGGTACCAGAATATCACACGGCAGAGAAGAGTGTGCTACTTTTGGAGCCAACCTTTTCTAGTCGCGTCGCATTCCCAACAAACTTTAAGTTACGGAACAATTAGAGACGCAAACTGAATTTTTAGGTTCTTCCGCAGCATCAAAGCGATTGCAGTTCATAAGCAGCTTTCCAGCATGCCAATCTCAACAAGATGAGTTAGTGATAAACTTCTAAGAGTCAGGTGTGTTACTCATTCCCATGCAGACAGCTCATCATCCTTGAATAACCTAATATATCTCACTAACATAGAGCAAAGTGCACCACAATGATGTACCACCTCCTAACTTGGTAGTTATAATCAGAAATCATCGACAGAATTCAGTCAGCAACCGTCTGGGTGGAAACGATAATATCCTAACTAACCAGCGTACAGTTTTATAAGTCATTATACAAACCAGCATGCAATAGCCAAATCCAGCGTAATCCACCATAACTCTACACACAAATGTAGTCAAGCATAGAAGAGATAAGTACGACTCAGAGAATTCATGATCGCCTTTTACAACTAGACATTATCTGCAATGGTTGGCGACTTTAAGCACATAAACACACACACACACATGTGCATAAATACTTGAACTTCTATTAAACTTGCAATAAGAAACAGTGAATACATCAAAACTGTAATAATAATAATAATAATAATAATAATAATAATAATAATAATAATAATAATGAGACATGCATTTACTGATAAATGGTAGTTATGTAGATAAATAATCTTCCAAGTAAAAAATACCCACAAATTTCTATGCATATATATGTATAAAAGAACAGAAAAATTGAAAATGAAATCGCAGAAAAAGAAACCAACTAATCTGCTGCTATTGAAATCTGTAAGTAGACTGTTATTACACTTTGTTTGTAGAATCAGACTCAGAGTTGAACACACACACACACACACGTTGGTAAGCGGAAAGTAGTCATGAGTGTGTAGATGCCTCTGTATCTGTGTGTGTGTGTGTGTGTCAGTGCATGACGTCCGCTTACATCAATTGTTGATATTTAAAGACAAATAAGAATCAATGGTAGTGAAAAATAATTTTTGTGAAAAGTGACATATATAAATGTACATACCACGAAAAATGAAGACAAGAATAACTAAACTACTGTTATGATCATTAGTAATAAATACCTATGTACACTTTTTGTATGCATAAAATCGGTTAGTTATACCCATTCATTATAAGAAACAACATTAGATAACCGGGAGTAGAGAAAGTAAGAAATAGGAAATTCATCTAAGAGATTTCTTTTTAAAAACACCTTCATATACAAGGATATATATATATATATATATATATATATATATATATATATATATATATATATATATATATATATATATATATATATATATATATATATGGGTGACACATTTAACAGTAATAGTCTAGTGAGGAATAAAAGCAATCTAATAAGATGAACAGGACAATAAGGTTTAATATTTACTCTATTATCAGATAACAAAATGAAGAGTATTTACAAGAAAGTTTGTATTGGTGCTCAATAAGCATATCGGTGGTGGTGGTGGTCGTCGTCGTCATCATCGTGTTTATTAGTAGAACTCATAAAAATGGTACTGATTAGAGTAATAAAAATGTTATTTATACAAATGTGGCGCATAAAACAATAAGAAACCAGTACAATATGTTGACAGCGGTCATCAATAACAATAATATAACATTAATATAACATATGTATGTATACATACATTAAACTGATCTATTTAGACATAATGTTAACATGGGAACTAGTGTGTGAGTTATTACTTCTGTTGATTGTTTCACTTAGCCTGCTTTCTGTTACACTTGGCATAGTATTACTACTTTTTGGCATTGATAATAAATCATTGACACTATCGGATTGCACTAATACAACTGTATCATCCTCTTGATCTTCAGCAGATTCAGATCCTAAAGTGATTGAAACTGTTTTTGCAGAGGAATTTGCTGATCCTTGTAAAGCAGTTGTAGCTGTAGACTCCTCTGAATTATTACTTCCATGATTTGGTGTATAACGTTGACTATCACTGCGTAACAACTCCATTAAAAGAGAGTTAGTCGATAGGTAAGCGGATAAATCTAAATCGACAAGCATTAAACGAGCAGCTTGACTTGTTTTACGTAGTTCAGGAATACGATTAATCAATTTATTGAATTTATCATTAATATCAGGTGATGATTTAGTCACATAATCCATTAATAATCGACGGACAGATTCTTGATAAGATCGTACCTGTGAACTTGCTTTCAAATTGCTCAAATCTATCAAAGTGAAGTATGTATGTTTGTAAAACATGGTGAAATTATTTTCGACACACACACACAATTCAGTCATTAGATATACTTTTAAGCATTAAATTTGTAGTATCACAATGAAAAGAAATAATGAAATAATTAGTGCGGCTAACTAACTAATAGCAGAGTTTCTTTGACAAGAATGAATCATCGTGTTTCTAAGCCGTTAGCTGTTTGAACCGGTGGTTCATTGGTTTAGAGCGACAGCTATCAAACACGGATTTGAAGCCCGGTCTACCTACTGGGGTTTGGGGAGCTAGGGAGTGGTACCCTTGAGCCTTATATCACATTAGAGATTTGTCTCGTCGCCTACTTTATGAGTGCATTTCGTTATGTCAGCTGATGAAAATGAACAGTTTACATTCGTCAGTGACAATTATATGCAATAAAAGTATTATACTTCAGCATACATAGAAAGTAGCTCTGATTCTTCTATTATTAAAGGAAAGTTAACCTACATGGAAATAATTTAAGCAACAGAACATGATCATGCTACGTGCTAATAACCAAAAAAGATGTAACGTACTGATTGACTTGGTAAAAAGCTTGACAACTTTTCGTGTAGAATGACTGGATGCACTGACAACTCTACATCCATCTGAAACGGCTTTAAGCTCAAAGGATTAGGTAGATGATTTTCAACCAGTAGATAACTAGTTCAAATTCCGCTTCTCCTGCTGAGGTTTGAGCTGGCAAGTAGTGTCATTAGCCTCTACACAATAAGTGTGACTCATTGTCTAGTGGTCGGAGGTTTTATGCTTCTGATTCCCTCTGATTCCAGAGGAAATCTAATCGTTTCTAAAAATTTTGATTTTTAGTGGCCAAAAAAGATACTATTTACGATGTCGAGAAAATATCGTAATGTTCAGTGGTTTGCTATTTTCTGGTGTATTTGAGTTATTCCAAAAAAAAATTATATCTTCAAGGCTTTGCTTGCGTAGAGAAGAATCTTGAAGTGAAGTATATGGAGGTTTGGTGGGAAGTTTCAGGCAAGGAAACTAAGTCAGTCGATTCAGATGAATTCACACAGATTAATGAGACTGTGATCTGTGAAATACATTAACCTTAGGAAGAATAGCTAAATGAAAAAACCACAGGATAAAAGCACCCACCTACTCATATGTGGTGATTAAACTAACACAGATTGGGCTTGTATACTGAAGTCTTACGTGTATCTGCAAGATCAAACGACATACTCAGGGCATAAATACCTGTAATATATCACTGTGACTACCTGAGATAGCCGTGGTTTATTATTATTATTACATGTCCCTTGGGTTCCTAGTGGAACATAGGGATTCAGTAGCACGTCTCCAGTGTACTCTCTTCTCTCCTATCTTTTGGATCTGGCGCCATCACTCATCACAAGATCTCATCTCTTCCTCACATGATCTCCTCCATATCACTCTTGGCACCAACACCCAACTCGTCGCTTCCCATCTGGGTTCCACTCAGACAACTGGCCTCACGCATGATGTCCCCAGTCGGCCTTCTCAGTGTATGCCCATTCCAATCCATCTCCACTTCCTTCCAGTGCATATTTGTTGAGTGATAGGTTCTTGCTTCGTTGGTTCGTTACCAGGCCAGAGTTCCTTGTTGCTTGTTATTATTATCATTATTCTGGCCATCTGAGCTTCAGTAACGAGTCAGTGTAGGCGGCAGTTGTTGATGAATGTCTGTAGTTTGTTGGAAATGCCTTTCGTAACGCGCCAAGTTTCTGAACCATATAGGAGCACTGACTTGACTGACGTTGGTGTTGAAAATCCGGATGTTGTTCACTCTTTAAGGTGAGTACAGAAGATCTCCATACTGGTTTCAGGTTAATGAACGCCTGTATTGCTATCTTTCCGATCTTGACTGGCTTTGACGTCCTCGTCTGTGCCTGTGCCGCCTGTAGTTGAAACAGTGCTGCCTAGGTAGGTGAAGGAGTCTACTTCCTTTAAGTTTCTCCCATTGATGCTGATTGCAGCTTGTTGTTGCTGTTGTTGTTGTTGTTGGTTGGGTATCTTCATCACCTCTGTCTTCTCTACGTTCACCTGGAGTCCCGTCTTCCTTCGCTGCCTCGTCTCTTCTGCCAACTTGTTAGTTTTCGCCTTTAGATCTTCAAATTTGTGCCACAAGACATAAGATACAAGTCGTCGGCGAAATCCAAATCTTCTAGGATCTTTGCCGAGGTCCAACGTATCCCCCCTCTTCTCGCTCCTCACAGTTTGTTGCATGATCCAGTCCAGTCCAGTCCACCACAATCAGGAATATCATGGGTGATCGTAGATAGCCTTGCTTTACTCTTGTCTTCACTTCAAAGGTATCACTGAGCTTCTCATTGTGAATTACTTGGCTGGTATGTGGCGTCTTCATATAGTTGTTGAATGAGGTTGATAGTGGTTTGTGGTATTCCGTAGTGTTGAAGCAGTTTCCAAATTGCTTCTCGGTCGACGCTGTCAAAGGCCTTTTTAAAGTCGATGAAGTTGAGGTAGAGGGTAGACTGCCACTCTATACTCTGTACTATGATGATACGGAGCGTAGAGTTGCAATTTGGTCCGCACATGATTTGTACTTCCTGTAGCCAGCCTGTCTGTTCCGGTCGTAGTTTTGAATCCAGTGCATCATTTAGTCTCTCCACGATGATGCGGCATAATATTTTGCTTGGGGTGGTTTGGCAGACTAGTATTTATACTGGGTGACGATTGAAGGTGAAATGAAAATCTCCACCACGGCCGGATTCGAACCAGTAACCACCAGTCCGACTATTTTATTTCACTTCAATCACCATGGGCTTTTCTCAATTACCATGTGAATTTATAACGCGTTACTACCGCTTGGCCGTGTAATTTACTTGTTTTCAGTGACCAAGATCTTCACTTACTTTGGGTATAACTTAGCGAGTGCTACTTCTGCTCTGTGAACTGATTGACTTATTGATGACTTCTATCAAGCAGATACTCATCCGAAAACCACCATACACATGCATAGTTTGATCACTTAGACCTGATCTTTCAAAGAAAAACTATGCGCACTGATACGTAAATGATCAAAATAGTAATAAAAATTACCAGTTCAGAAAATATCATAATCAGATCTTCTTTTTTCAAAAAGAAAAACTCACCAGGTTGCATGAGAACAATGACTTTCAGACATGCGTACTCTACAACATCTAGTTGCAATCTTGTCAGAGATTGAGTTAACTGTAGAATTCTTTCCACTATTTCTTCTGCGCCCATTTCACGTGCAGCCTCAAGATTGATACATTTACTTGATGTCAAGCGAATTTCCTGCAAAACAAAACAAAATTAAAACAGTTCCAATACATATTATTGGTTGTATAATATGTTGTCGTTGATTGGACCATCATTACTATATAATTAAAAGCACAGGCAATATCGAGGCATCCACGCAGGAGCCCATATGCCAGTAGAGACTGATCAATTTGGTCCAGTTAACGATGCTATAATACAAGCAATAATACTAAAACTATATCCATCGCACAAGCAGTGGCTACCGTGGCTCGGTGGTTCAGTGGATAAAGCTCTGCAGTTCGAAGGGATCGGCCCCGAGTTCGAATCCCGATGGGAACAACATCTATCACTGGGAGGCATGTACATCCAGCTGACGAACCCCAAGTAAGACGGAATGGGCATCCTGGATTCTACGGCTACCCGCTATCCATCATTACTATATAACTCCAAGAAGTGTAGGTAAGTGTGTGAACAGGATTAGTAAAGCCTATCTAATACAGTAAATTTAATGTGAGAAGTCCATGAGAAAAGTATAGAGATCAAGCCATCAATACTTTGTAATATTTATAGAAAGAAATTTGAACACAAGTAGAATGATACTTGAGTAATAGTAAAAAGGATATGATGGAAGTGAGAACCAGTAACTAGTGAACAATGACATCCTCACCGTCCTCAAGACGCTAAGCACTGAATACCATCTGAGCTTATCGATTCCTAAAAAAATATCAATCCCCCCATCTATATTACACAACTTCTATTTTATGCAGCAATGTCACATTTTGCCTAATTACCTTCAGCTTTCTTCAACTTTATTCAAGACTAGTAGGGGCTAAGGGGTACAGTCAAGTAAACTGTTAAACTGAAAGGTGTGAAGAGACGCTTACATATGAGGATGAGTTCCCGTTATGCAATATGCTTCCTAACCAATACGTTGTTAAACTTATTACCTCGTAGTGCATAGTGATAACATTAAGATAGAAAAGCAAGCGGATAAAACATAGGATCTAACTGTTTGGAAGCCGATTATTATCCGTTCAATGGAAGAAAAACAATAAGGCGAATAACGTACTAAAAAGACGGAAAAAAATGAGAAAGAGCTATTCAAGAAAGATTTCCAGTAAGACAAACAATAACTATAAGGTATCATTTGAATACTCAAACGGTATTATCACTTCTTGGTTATATTGTATTCCCTGAGCTGAGTTGTTTTAGTCGTGGAGCTTTTATCGTCTTTCTAGACAACATCATCAGCCCTAACTTCAGTATGAAGTGAACTGTCAATATTTCTCCCGTGAGTGATTTACTGGCTTGCCCTGACGAACCGGTTTATCACTAGTTGTTTCCTTTGATTGTCGTGTCATTAACTGTACAGATTTTCCTGTTGGCTGTTTCTCTGCTTGACCTCTGACCTTTCTGTCGTTTATCATTTTTCTCATTGGTAGATAGATTGGCCTATGTCTATACATCTATTGACTGCTCACTGACCTGAGTGACAAGCTTCTAGGAATCCTCTGATATTCTTTGTGTTTCCTCTCTCCGTCCGAAATTTCTACATTGTCAACATTCAATTCATGCCCATAATTATTCACGTGCATTGAAATGAGTGACGAAATGTCGTGATGTTTAGTAGCTAATTGGTGTTCATGTAGACGAAGGTGAAGAGGGCGACCACTTTGTCTAATGTATTGTTGACTACAGTTATTGCAGCTGGTTTTGTAAACGATATTTGGTTTATCTTATTAGACTGTTGCATCCTTTCCTCTGCATAATGGTGTTTGGAGGGAATTTATTGGTTTATGGATGGCCACACTAATCTCAAGAGGTCTCAGTAATCTTGTCGTGATTTTTGATATGTTCTTTATGTACAGTAAGATGATGCGTTTATTGATTTCTGTCGATGGCTTTGTACTTGATGATGTAAGGGATAGGCATCTTGTGATAAAGTTTCGTGGGTAGCCGCTCTTCTTTAGGATGGACATCAAGTAATTTTCCTTCGTTTCTCCGTGACGTTGTTGTACTGCAGTATGTTCTCGCTCTTTTGAATGGAGTCTGAATGCAACTAATTTTGTGCGTTGTTGCTACTGTAGTTGAAAGTTTTGATCAGTGTGTGTTGGCTTCCTGTACACTAGAATTTCCAGCTTTCCGGCATTTGTCCTACTGGATAAAATATCCAGGAATGGTGGTTGGTTATTTGACTTTCTCCATTGTGAATTTGATGTCATTGAAAACATTGTTAATCAGACTTTGAATGATGACAAAAGTATCGTCTGCATAGCGAATCCAAATTTTTGGTTGAATCACAGGTAGAATGATGGCTTCCAGTCTCTGTATCACCGCTTCTGCAATTAGTCCGGATATTGGTGACTCCATTGAAGTTCCTTTCATCTGTTTGTATATCACGCCGTTGAATTGGAAGTATGTTGTCAGGCAAAGGTCTGTGAGTTCCATTAGACTTGAAAATATAAGTTCCATGCGTTCTGAAAAACTTGTGTCTTCACTGAGCAGCAGGGATATAGTTCCCTTGGCCAGCTGGAGTTCAATGGAAGTGTACAGTGCCGTGACATCGAAGGATATCATTAGTTCGCCGTTTTCTATATTAATGCTTTTGATCTTTTCTAAAAATCCAGTTAGTGATTTGGTCGAATGTCCACATGACTGAACGAAGTGTTTCAGTTTTCTCGAAAGTTCTCTTGATATGTTCGAGTTCTCGGAAGTGAGACTATTGGTCATAGGAGGATATCTGGTGTGTGTAGTTTTGGTCTGTCGTAGAACCGGGGAAGGACGAGTCCATTCGATTTCATTCGCAATTTGTCTTGCTTTGTTATATCTTCTGCTTTGAAGAATTTGTTCAAAGTTTTATTGAGTTGATTGTAAAACTTTTGGATAAGGCTGATTTCAAGTGGTTGATATACATACTGAAGTTAGTGCTGATGATATCGTCTAGAAAGACGACGAAAGCTCCACGATTAAACAACTCAACTCAGAGAACACAATACAAGCAAGACCATGCACATGAGCTACAAATATTCTCCGTTATTGTCATTGTCATTCCCTTAAAACTTAAAGACCCAATTCAAAGTAGATCATCTCCATTGAGTCTATATTTACAATTTCATCAGTTGCTTCAACACCACGGAATACCGCAAACCACTATCAACCTCATTCAACAACTATATGAAGACGCCACATACCAGCCAAGTAATTCACAATGAGAAGCTCAGTGATACCTTTGAAGTGAAGACAAGAGTAAAGCAAGGCTATCTACGATCACCCATGATATTCCTGATTGTGGTGGACTGGACTGGACTGGATCATGCAACAAACTGTGAGGAGCGAGAAGAGGGGGGATACGTTGGACCTCGACAAAGATCCTAGAAGATTTGGATTTCGCCGACGACTTGTATCTTATGTCTTGTGGCACAAATTTGAAGATCTAAAGGCGAAAACTAACAAGTTGGCAGAAGAGACGAGGCAGCGAAGGAAGACGGGACTCCAGGTGAACGTAGAGAAGACAGAGGTGATGAAGATACCCAACCAACAACAACAACAACAGCAACAACAAGCTGCAATCAGCATCAATGGGAGAAACTTAAAGGAAGTAGACTCCTTCACCTACCTAGGCAGCACTGTTTCAACTACAGGCGGCACAGGCACAGACGAGGACGTCAAAGCCAGTCAAGATCGGAAAGATAGCAATACAGGCGTTCATTAACCTGAAACCAGTATGGAGATCTTCTGTACTCACCTTAAAGAGTGAACAACATCCGGATTTTCAACACCAACGTCAGTCAAGTCAGTGCTCCTATATGGTTCAGAAACTTGGCGCGTTACGAAAAGCATTTCCAACAAACTAGGGACATTCATCAACAACTGCCTACACTGGCTCGTTACTGAAGCTCAGATGGCCAGAATAATGATAATAATAACAAGTAACAAGGAACTCTGGCCTGGTAACGAACCAACGAAGCAAGAACCTATCACTCAACAAATATGCACTGGAAGGAAGTGGAGATGGATTGGAGTGGGCATACACTGAGAAGGCCGACTGGGACATCACGCACCAGGCCAGTCGTCTGAGTGGAACTCAGATGGGAAGCGACGAGTTTGGCGTTGGTGCCAAGAGTGATATGGAGGAGATCATGTGAGGAAGAGATGAGATCTTGTGATGAGTGATGGCGCCAGATCCAAAAGATAGGAGAGAAGAGAGTACACTGGAGACGTGTTACTGAATCCCTACGTTCCACTAGGAACCCAAGGGACAAATAATAATAATCAACTGAACACTGATGTAGGTATCTATTACATTATGCTATGCATTCATTGTATTTTATTAACAGTTATTGATAGCTATATAACTAAGTCAAAATTCACTCAATAAGTATACATTCGTGTAATAGGCAGTAAGTCATATTTATTCATGTATGAGGCCTTCTTGACTGAGATAGGTCAAGCGGGGTTCGAACTCGAAACCTACAAAGCTACACCTATAAATTAAATTTTGAAAGGGAATTATAGAATTTTTTTTTCAAATAACTTAGTACACTTCAACAACTGTTGAATTCTTCTGTAGGCATCAAATAATCATTCGAAAGAATTCCATTTTTGCATAATATTAAATTAAGCATATGTAATAGCTGGTAGTGTGAAGAACAATTCAGTTATACAGTTGAACCAATTCAAAATGTCCACTGAATAATGTAAGTTTAACATACGATCAGATTATTACTATAATTACATGATATTCAAGTATAATTATCGGTATTATTTATACAACTCACTGAAGGAGTAGGTAAAGATCGCCAACAACAATCAAGACATAATAAATCAGCCCAACAATTTTGAATTAAAAGTATTTGGTCATCTGTATCAAGTAATGAAAAATCTGGAAGGGCACGAGACCAACGAACAGTTCGATATAAACGTTGATCTGCTAAATTTAATAATGCACGATATACAGCAGCTTCATCATCTGAAATACCTTCAGGTGTAGAAGTTTCTGAAGTAACTGCTGCATCAATTTCTAATGCATCTTCTGGTTCTCCTTCTATAGTCTCTTCTACTAGAAGAATATCACGAATAATCTACAGTATTATACAAAGAAAACAACAACAATGCAGAAATCAATGACGAAAACTATTCTTATGTGAACTCTTATTCACATAATATCAAACTCTTAATGAAGATAATTTATTTCCTTATTGAATAAGTTTTTATACCGTATTTCTTATGCTTACTTAACAGAGTCATCAGTATGAACTATTGTATACTTATAACACGTTCTGGTCACATTTTACAATGAAAACAAATGGATTACATTACTCAACAACAACAACAAAAAAAAGCCAATTTTAGTCAATATACATATTGAACATACATTGAAAATCCAACTCGTTTTAGAAGGTGTTTAAATGAAATCATAGTAAATAATCAGCAATAATTGAAATGATATGATCCACTTAGGCAGAAAAAAAGAATATGAAACAGAACTATAATGATTTTTAGGAGGTAATTTTATCAAGGACTGACATCAGTTGAAGGAACATTGAAAATTTGGGAGCACTGGACAGTTGTTTCGTCCTATTATGAGATTTGAGGACGTCGGCAAAGATCGAACCCACAACTTTCAGGTCCCATGGCCAGTACGTTACAATTCAGTCACTGGTTCAGAATCTAGATAGAATTAATCTAGTACTCATTAGTGACTAGCTTCAAGAGGTGATTTCCAAAGTTTCAATGAGAAGTCGTGACCAGTGAAGTCAACCAAGTCGAACATGAAAACAGTTACTCAACGACGATATTGGACATCGGTCGAGATATATCGTGAACTGACAAAAGTAGGAAAACATGAAGCATTAGATTCCGACCCACTGACTCAGTAGTAACTGTGCTGAGGCACGGAACCTAAATGTCCTGGGTGCGTACTGCTGGAGAGTTGTATACTAGGATGAAACAGCTGTCCAGTGCTTTCAGGTTTCCGATGCCTCTCCAATTGATGTCAATCCATGATGACTTCCAACCTAAAAATCATTTATTAAATCTCGACAAACCTCTAGATCGAACCATATTGATAGATATGCATCATTCTTAGAAAGATGCGCTAAGTAAAGTTATCAAACGAACAGCTACGAAATACATTTGGTCCACGGTAATAATTTTTTTAAACTGTTATTTTCTACCTTTACCCCCTCACTCTCTGTGTCACATTTATTATCCAGTCAAAATGGACGAGGAAATATCCCATGCGATTGGTTGTACGAAATCAAAAAGTACTATAAAAGGGAGTAAACTGAGGAAGGGTTGCTTTATTTTCATGATGAGCGAAGATACCGTCCAAAGTGTTGTAACCAAAACCGAATCAATCTTTATGGAGCGTTTTTCTCTCCCCGAGTTTCCGTCCTTAGAGTCTATGAAGGTCGCCCTCAGTTAGTACCTGTGCTCGAAGACCACCTTGATGTTGGTCAGAACTACCAAGGCGAAGTAATCAGTTTCTCACTAGCATTATACTTACAATTACAGTTAGTAGTGTATTCCTACATAGATTTAAATATATCGATGAAAAGATTCTGTTTTGTTGAATGGAATAATATAAGAACATTTCAAATGAAAAGTTTACAAACAATGGTAAGCTTTTACTTCAGTAAATTATTAAGAAAATATTCCGACTGTTGATGTGATCACGGGGAGTAATTTTATTCGAATTACTACCAAAACAAGAACTTGTGATCATGTGAAAACTTTCGATTAGGATTTAGATTTCTCTGCAAACCTCATTTACAGTCACAGATTACACTCAATACATATTGATCTCGGCGACTACCACGACGTGCCTTTCGTCCTACTAGACACTCGTTAGCTGGATGTAGCACCACTCCAGTGAGTGATATGGTCCCCACTGTGGATCGAACTCAGTACCTATCCCTTAAACCGGTAGAGCGTTATCCACTAGGCCAAGTACCAAAGAGAACAAAACGCCAGTCCTGGAGTCCTCTGTTAGTCACCGAGATCAATGTAACATCATGAAGAAGTAGCAGTATCAAGGCATCCGTATAAGAGCCCATCTACCAACAGCGGTCGAACAATTCAGCCCTGTATAACAACAATTACACTCAATACATTTTGAAAAAGGCTCCTTGAAATATTACACAACATTATCACTACAGCATTAAATTCTCTACAGATTTTTAATTCATTTTAGATTTAATCTTAACCTGATGGTGATTAATTTCTCTTAAAACAGAATTTAGGTGATAAGTGATGTTGATTTTATAAGCCAATCTAAATACAGATAGCTTATCTGGGCTGAACAAATCAAATTTCAACAAGTAAATGTCCTAGTCCAATAGGAAAGTACACCTTTGGCACACAAATACAGGAATCAGCCAATCATTTTGCAGTTCCAATTACTTCAGTAAATCAGTAGCCATATTTCCACGATTTTTATCCAATGAAATATCAACAATATTTATTCCTTAGAAGTTAACATATGTGTTTACAAATGATCTGATGAAACCTGATCCGATCAATGAAACACTAGTACAGGATACTGTTTTTTTCTTCTCTCTTCCCAGCATAATTTTAACCAAGAAGAATTCATCAGTTGGTTTGCTTTCAATGTTTTTTGATTTTTTTTCTTAGAAAGTTTCACAATAAACTCACAACCTGCTTTACCAACATCCTAAGGTACTACCACCATATACGGAAACTTCGACTATAATAACTGGTTCAAGATTTCTAGACGATCATAATGGCAGTGAAAATCTGGAGAAACAATTAAATCTAAGAGATCAATTCACCTACTTAATGACTTTAAATGTAACAAATATATCTCAAGTAAGCCTAACTAACAGATTTCTCTCCAATACTTTATCTCATTTGATCGCATTGGATAGAAGATAATTAACAGCCAACATACCTTCTTGATACTTCAATGTGAATTGTATATAAAAATCCATCATTATTGGACAATAGTTCTACTAATGTTTATTTCTTTACACCATAACAACTAATTCTAATGGTATACATGATGAGTGGGAAATGCTTGAACTTAAGTTTATTCGCATAGATTACATGCTTCAGTGTACACACTTATTGAGATATTTAAAATCGTTCAAGTAAGTTCTTGTTGGTCAATGAAGTCATAAACATGTGAAGTAATGTTAAAATAGGTGTTTATCTGATGCAACATGGAACTATACAGCCGAATCAAACATATCAGTCACTTGTAACGCAAACATCGAATATTGTGAGAATTTAATGCTATTTTAGCATGAAAAAAGAATGGTGAATGGAAATAATCTAAACTCATAAACAATATGAAGTGATATTTTTCTGTTCTTTTCATAACTTGTACATACTTTTGATATTATGATAGGGTTGAATGTACTCTCTTGATGATGCCTGTAAACCGGTTTCTCTCATGTTAAATTTATAACGTGAAAAGAAAATATTTTTGAGATGAGTGTGGGGATTTTAATTTTGAGATAGTATTCATCATGAACTGTTATATCAGTTGAGGAACCATTGAAAACCTGGGAACACTGGACAGCTGTTTCGTCCTAGCATGGGACTTCTCAGCGGTAGATACTCATGATCCGACTAGGAATCGAACTAAGGACCCCCCAGGTTTCACAGCGAACGCGTTTAGCCATTCAGTCATTGAGTCAGAGTTCAATGATTCACAGTTTCCAACAGCTGTCCAGTACTCCCAGGTTTCCAATGATTCCTCAACTGATATCACAGTTCATGATGAATACTACCTCAAAATTAAAATTCTCATTCCTCTCAAGAATATATTACTGTATACTGCCCCCTTAGTGACATGCTTCCAGATGGATATCACGAAGTTTTAATGAGAAGCTGTGACCCGTAGGGTCAACCAGTCGAAATGGAAGTAGGCACCAACTGAAGACCTCGGGTGATAGACACGCTATAGACCACTGATCTCCGATCTAGTGGGTGAATGGTTAACGCGTACGCCCTGAGGCCCTAAGGTCCTGAGTCAGATCCCTAACCCGGTTGTGGGCGTGTACTGCTCAGGAGTCCCATACTAAGGCGAAACAGTTGTCCACTGCTCCCAGGTTTTTAATGGTCCCACAACTGATGTCAGTCCGTGGTGAATACTGCCTCAAATCAAAATATTTATTTATTTATACTAAGGTGAAAAAAAATTTATAAATTATTTGTTGAGAACTTAAAGGATTTAATTTCGAAGAGAACATATGATAAACACCCAACCTTAACGTAATTAAATTAAGGAAGGAATATTCAATTCTCTAGCTTAACTCTGAACAAAGCAGATTATTGCATGACATTACTGTGGATCACTGATCCGAAAATTAATACTCATAATCGTTAGTAGTATATTTCATACAGCTTTTATATGTATCCAGCTGCTTATATATCTATGAAAAAGTAAATCATGCATAAGCAGTAAATGACTATACTCATTTGAACGTAGATGACTGAAAATGTGTGTCTTATTGCTTTGGAAATAGGTAAGCCCAGATAAGTGTAAGGTTATTTAGGCACTATCCGACACTCATAGTTTCCAGTAGCTATACGCGGCCAGATTACTGGACCTCTGTTGGCAGATGGGTTAATATGCAGATGCATTGCTACTGTTGGAATATTCATGGTCATACATTCGCCTTGGTGACTGGGGGTGGGATCCAAGAAGCATATTTCGTCCTACTTAGGACTCGTCAGTTGGATGAGACCCAAACGCGATGAAATATGCATCTTGGATTTCACTGCTAATCATTATGACAACTGTAACTGAAGCTTATTGTTATCTATAGGAAAGTAATAGGATTAAAATTTTCGCTTTACAAAATTACTACTAATTTAACTTGACAATTTTCATACATACACATTAAATTATCTTCGAGTTGTCTTATCGAATCGAAAACACGAATATGAGACAGTTTTCGCTAAAAACCAAAGGTTTACCAAACTTATTGAGTACTTGTTGATTGATACTAATGAAAATGACTGAGAAATAAATAAAAGAAAACATCTAACTGCATATATTATACCAAAAAGAACAAAACTAAATGTTACCTTTGGGAGCTGTTCCCTAGCACGTGATACTGATTCATTTAGACCACTTATAATGACTTGTCTACCCATATATGGAGAAACGACAGCTGCTGAAATATTTGTACCACCAACAATCCCATTTCCACATTCTAGAATGCTTGGTTCAACACGTAAACTCCCAGAATCAATCTCTTCATCATCATTATCATGTGTACCAAGAACACCAGGATCCAAATAAACACCACCACCAGCATCTTCTGAAGCTGGTAAACCATCAGGACCCAGTGTATGTGCAGCTAAACCAACAACAGAACAAGAAAGTTGATCTGCATCATCTGACATTAGACTTTGATCTGTTAATCCACTTAGCATATTTCCATCGATATCTGAAGCAGAAAATTCCATGGATGAATTAGAAATACCTAAACCAGTACTAGAACGACCACCGCTGACCCGTGCAGCAATCTGTCGTAAGTAACGTGAGCCAGGATACATGCTACGCCCTCCACGTGTACGATCTGAACGAATAGCTAAGCAAAGAAGAAAGTCAAAGAATCATCAGCCAGTTAGAAGGAAGTCAATATAAAACTAAATATAGTAGGCTACTTATTATAATTATTATTACTATTATTTGTCCCTTGGTTTTCTAGTGGAACATAGGACTTCAGTAGCACTTCGCCATTTCGCTCTCTCCTCTCCAGTCTTTTCAAACTGGCGCCATGACTCCATAGAAGCTTTCATTTCTTCTTCACATGATCTTCTCCATGTCACCCTCACCTCGGACGTCCAACTCGTCGTTCCCCCTTTGGATTCCACTCGAGGGACTGGCCTGGCCTGGCGTGTGATGTCTTCAGTCGTTCTTCTCAGTGTATACCCAATCCAATCCATCTCCGCTTTCTTTTGTAAATTTGTTGGGCGATAGGTTCTTGGTTGGTTCCGATCATCTGATCTTCAGTATCGGGTGAGAGTAGGCGGCAGCTGTTGATGTATGTCTGCAGTTTGTTTGAAATGCTTTTCGTAACGCGCCAAGTCTCACATAGAAGCACCGACCTGACTGACATTAGTGTTGAAAATCCGGATCTTGTCCGCGCTTTATGCTGAGTGCAGTGCAGTAGATCTCCACACTGAATTCAGATTAACGCAGGATGGTCTGTCTTAGTCCTTTTCCGATCCTGGCTTTGACGTGATCATCTGTGCTGCCACCCGTAGTTGAAACGATGCTGTCTAGGTAGTCAGGTGAAAGAGACAATTTCCCTTATATTTCTCCTACTGATGGTGATTGGTTCTTGTTGTTGATGTTGTCGTTGGTTGGGTATCTTCATCACCTTTGTCTTCTCTACACTCAGCTGAAGTCACGTCTTCCTTCGCTGCCTCGCCTCTTCTGCCAATTTGTTAGTTTTCACCTGTAGATCTCCAAGGTTGTGCGACAAGACATTAAACATAAGTCATCGTCGAAATCCAAATCTTCTAGGGTCTTCTCATCAGTCGAACAGCGTATGCCTCTCTTCTCGCTCCTCACAGTTCGTTGCATGATCTAGTCCACCACAATCATGAAGCAAACGTTATGAAGACAAATTATACCTCAGAAATGAGAACAACTTTATTGGATGAAATGATTAAGATATATGTGGATCCACTCTGTTGATTGTTATAAATGGAATTCTGCGCCAGTCAAAAATCAATGCTTATGCAAATCACTACAATAAGGTGATAGAATATAGAAACAAAACTCCAGTATGAAGAAGACAAATTGAGATATTCAGCTGAAATTTACTCACCTTCAATACGCATTCCTTTGTCAACACATTTTAAGAAACGACATGCTGGACACTTTTTACGTGAAGCCACATTTATTTCACACCGAGAAGAAGTATTAGGACGATGACAAGCATATCGTTTAGCATTTTGAACAGTACGCTTAAAAAAGCCTTTACACGATTCACAACAGAATATACCATAATGATAACCGGAAATTTTATCTCCACATACTGGACAAGGGCCTAATTTAGTAAACTGTTTAACGTATTGTTGCCAAGTTGATTCACGCTAGAGGAAATATTAAAAGAAAGTAGAAAGTAACAAACAATGAAAACAGACATTGAGTAAGTATCAGTAGGCTTAGATTAATGTTCTTTTTAGGCACCCAAATCGACCTAAGTATAATCTAAAAACTGGTCGACTGTTAGACAGAAGGTAATATCATATTTACTCGTTATCACTAAGTAAACGTTTGGAATCTGTTTCCTCATTTAGGTTACTTAATGTATTGAGGAATTCACGTCTCAGGTTTTTCATAGATTCCCATTTAATCAATTAACAATAAATAATTTCTCCCTCACTCCCTCTCTCTATCTAAATCACTCAAACACATCAATCCTTTGGTACAAGACCAACTTCACACACACACACACATACCTGTGAAGGGAGGGTAGATGGTGACCATATTCATTACGGGTACTTTAACAACTATTCAAGTGGCGAGAATCACAAGGGAACTAAACATATATAGATCAATGTACGGCAGTAGCAAATGTGTAGGATATGCATCACGTGAATTACTTAAAAAGCATTTCGAAGGTGTCAAAGAAGTGAATATATATATTTTACTGTTTGCTATATCTTGAGCTTAAAATTTACTAGACAAACGAAAACTCAACTGATTGTTAAAAAGAGTATCCTTCTTCTAATCATGGTATTTTGTGTGCTGAGTGATGGAACTAACTAAACATATGATAATTTCCCCCATTCAAAGTTGGTCCTACCTTACTGATTGACCTTCAAATCAAGTCGTGATATCACAAACTTCACTATTAAATTCTGACATATTGTAGATTAATTTTAAACAAAAACTTAATCCTATTCAATACAATTAAGTGTGTTACATGTTTATTATCTAATAGGCTACATGTCAGACTTATTGTATGAAGGAAGCGTTGTAATACTAAATGATTGTCCATGAGAAAGTTGGGTGTGGTGGGATTCGAACCTAAGTCTCGTTACTTAAAATCAATGAGCCAAAGATCATATAAAGCTTTGATGAATTCTTGCTAACTTGATGGTAATACTTAACTAGAGGGAATGGATGTAATTTTCTGTAATTTAGTTAGTGATGGTTAGCAGTGGAATCCAAGGTGAGCGTTTCGTCTTATTTAGGGCTCGTCATTCCAGTTTATGATTATGCTTTCACTAAGATTCAAATGCAACACTAATAAGCCTAAGCTACTGAGTCAGTCATAAGAAGTACTTTCTGTGCAACAGGTATCAGTTGTTACTTATCTGTTTGTAGTTTATCAGATAGGAAAGTATCGAGATAGAATACACTAATAATAAGGTAACACACATAGATATTATAATCAGGATGGATGGCATTATATGCCCAATAACAATGATATAATAATATCATATATGTATCAACAGTACCTGAGCAGTTCCTGAGGATGAAGAACCGGACACACCTGCACTCGCTGATATCGCTACTATGCCAACTGATGAACTAGTTTGACCTTGAGATACTCGTGATCCAACAGAGTTAGTATTTGAGAATAATTCAACACCAACATTGGAACCAATTAAACGATTTGAACCTGTACTGACCAAAGTTGTACCACTCGATACTAAACTATTTCCACCTCCAGAAACATTTAATTGTCTTAAAGGAACTAGGGTAGTTCCACTCCCACCACCGGAACCAGAAACAATTGTATTTGTAGAGCCAACATGAATACTAGTCCCAGCAACTGGTTGCTGAAGTAGAATAATGCTTCGATCTGATGAACCTAAATTAACAGTATTTGTATTTACTGCAGAATTAGGGTTAATAGATAATCCAGAAGTACGAAGTATTGTAGGCCCTGGAAATTGAAGATGATTTATTACTCATCCATTTTATCCATATTTAATATGGAAGAAAATAACTATGTTTGTTAAACCGAAATATAATACATAAAATGTACGCTTCTGAATTGTCATAACTTTATATATTAATTCATTCACAAATAATGTTTCATTAAAAGTTATCTATCTAAACTACAACCTATTGAATCAATCCGTTCAAATATACTCAGAAATTTAGATACTACTCATCTCTTCAAGTGGATAATCATTCATAATAACAAAGTATTAATCAAAAAACCGACAGATATAGACAAATTCAATAGAAATTTATTATCTTATCATCTTTGAAAGACTTTCTCATTGATCTTCAGATGGTTGTAATGCTTTCTAGTTACTAAAAGTTTGTAATGTACTATTTAAGAGCTAAGTTTATACTATAGGCAAACAAAAAAATAATAAAACTCTTTTAAATTATTTAGTGGTTGCAGCTATGTGAAAGACTGAACTAAAAAAAAAAATGTCTGGAAGTAAAAGATCGGATAAGAATGTGTTGATTTACGACTGGTTCACACACTTTATTCTTAGATAATAAATTCACCTGTAACACCTTAACATCAGCTGCTAATTTAAAGTGGTTGATTAATCTGCATAAGATTATCAAACATTGAATATACAGCTGAGAGTTTCTTTGTTCATCGATATCGCTACTATCCTACTAACTAAACTTATTTTATTATTATTTATTAGTCCCTTGGGTTCCTAGTGGAACATACGGCTTCAGTAGCACGTCTCCAGTGACCTCTGTTCTCTGAGATCTTTTGAACCTGGTCCCACGACAGCCCACAACGTCTCATTTCCTCCTCGCACGACCTCCTCCATGTCACCTTTGGACGTCCAACTCGTCGCTTCCCATGGGGATTCCACTCGAGTAACTGGCCTGACGCGTGATGTCCCCAGTCGGCCTTCTCAGTGCATGGCCAATCCATCTCCACTTCCTCCTGCATATTTGTTGCGTGATAGGTTCTTGGTTGGTTCGTTCCCAGAACTCCTCGTTGCTTATTCTTTCTGGCCATCTTATCTTCAGTAGTGAGCGTAAGCAGATGTTCATGAATGTCTGTAGTTTATTGGAAATCCCTTTCGTGACACGCCAAGTCTCCGAGCCATACAGAAGCACTGACTTGACGTTGGTGTTAGTAACTAAATTATTACAATCTAATTCTCCAACCATAAATTATTAACCCTAACTCATATGGCTTTTATGGGCAAACAGATAAAAAAATCGATATAGAACCTCATACACAAGTTGTCATACTTCACAGTAATATACAAAGAACAAGTGGATAGGAATAACTGATATCGAAGTAGACAAAGGTGTATGGGGTGACAGAGGGGGTTTAAAAAGTAAGATCACTTCAAACATTCAAGCTTTAGAATACGTCAAAGGGTGAATACATCTGCACCATTCTCACCGATTTTCAACCATTTCACCAACACTCCTCCTCAACCACTCATTCGTATCATTTCGCCAACTCCAGTCAGGTAGTCTACACCACCATACAACGCTCACATTAACAGTCAGGGACTTTATGGACTGGTGTTATTTCTAAGTCTGGTTACTCTCAACCCTCTTCAAACCTCATATAACTTCCCCTAGTATGGGATGTCGAGATAGGCGGTGGTTTGGCATGTGTAGCATATGTCCAAGCCATGTTAGTCGATGGACGCCTACAATCTCATCCACTGGCTTGCCTTCCTAACCTAGTACACTTTGCTTTTGTACCTTAACCTGATTTACTTAGTACTACACTAAAATCATTCTTGTCTGTAACATAAGCTGGAATCAAAGCCATTGGAAATTTACAAGTTAAAACTACTGGCAAAAAAATCAACTCTTTCGCCGTCCCAGTTAAATATACTTTACCTTTAGCCAATAATGATATAAACACAAAATTGAGACGGTGATTTGAAATGTTTGGTATGTGTAACAGACATTAGATATGTAAGAAGTCAAAACATATACGGCGTAACATATCAAAAGATTATTTTAGTGACAAAATAAACTTCAGCTAACCTGATGATCCAGCACGTATGGGTGTACTTGCATATACTTGGTTTTCTCCACCACTTGCTAGTTGAGCTGCTGGAACTAAAATGTATGTAGGTTGCTGCTGAATTTGCTGTCTAGGATTGGTGGATTGAATTGCAACAGACTGGTTTGTTGCAACTGTTGGAAATGAAATTATCTGAGTATTAGAACCAACAAAAGATGGTATAGTGCGCACCATCTGAACTCCATCCAAACTCGGCTAAAATAAAGATTAAAGAAATGCGAATCAAAAGTTGTAATGCCTTCTTTTTTTACTGTCGAATAGAAACGAATATGTAAGCTTTACTTAAAATGGTCATTATATATATATATATATATATATATATATATATATATATATATATATATATATATATATATATATATATATATATATAATTGCGGGGTTACGATTCACGAATACTGTGTGAAATGGAGGTTGCACTTTAGAATACGATTTAGACAGCACCAAAAGTGAACACTGAGCGTTCAAAATACAAGATAGCGAAATTTGCGCGTTTGAACGCATTTTCTAAACCATACTGGCAGATGAAAATAAGACTTAGTCGAGAATATCACAGACAAAACTTAATACGGCCCTCGTAAATATTTTGTTTAACTTTTATTACTACTTACAAGTAGTTGAGAAAAACGTACAACATTTTACAAACTCAGAAGCAGCGGGAAAACCGCTACATTCAGTTGGATCCCAATGACATTAGGCTATAGCAAATTTTGAACGATTGATATACATATACATGCAAGTTTTTTGGCTATGGTTGGCAGATGCATATAATTAACATAGGACATAGTGTAACCGAAATAGCTAAAATTTCCACACCTTAGTCTGATACATTGGGTAGGAAGTTGTGAAAAAAGGAAAACAATGTCATGAATAATTAGAACTGAAGGGTAAACAGGAAGGAAAATAAAAGGAATATGGATAAATATTGATATGCTTTTCAAAATCTGAATAAAAGTATAGCGTGAATGTACCTGCGCCACCAGTATTGACTGAGTCACACCGTATGAAGTCTTCAACCATATACTTTGGTCCTTTCAGACCATAAACCAGGTCTACGGTTCTATGCACGACTCATTCTCATAGTCGAAGGCTTAAGAAGTTGGTGCTGCCTTGGTCTGAGCATTCGTAGCTTTTTTATTATTGTCATTATTATCATTTTTAGAACGTAGGCATGGTTCAGGAAGGGCACCAAAAAATGAACCACACAAAATAATATAACATCATGAAGACATAAAGCGAATAAAAGTTTATACAACAAAAGAAGAAAAACATAAGATAGAATTAGGGAGGTAGTCCGATAAGACACATCCGAAACAAAACATTCATTACTTTTCAGCAGCAGAGAATAGAAGGAAGCTACAGCATGACCACCACTGGTTTCCATTCTGAGCCATATCTAGTAATTTCTCAAGTCGCTGAGTTGTGTGATCTCTTGGACCCCACCCAGGCAGTCATGATGCACCAACAGATGCTAACCCGATACAACTATCCTTCATCTCACAGAGCCACGTTATAGACTGACCATCCCCACCCCCCGTTTCTTCAATCTAGTCCCAGGGCTACCAAACAGTGAACAGTGCCGACGCCGTTGGGACGTTATGCGTAATACATGTTTAAGCTACTGAAGCCGGTGTTTCCAGATGACTTTGCTGATTGAGTAACGACCTCTATCATGCCCAAACACATGCTGTCATACCTCAGAACTACTTACATGATTTTGCCACAGGATAAGAGCAATTCCTATGGAGACAACAAAGACATCCTTAACTCGGAGAGGCCAGGTTTCACAGGTGTAGAGCAGAACTCCTCTCACCAAAGGGTTGTAAACCCGACCTTTCATGGTCACGACAGCGCCAAAGGTGGTCCAGATTGCCGTATGCTACTGACTTTTGATATGCGGTTAGAAATTTTATTAGTCATACCTCCACCAGCACTCCAACAACAACCCAGATACACGGACCTTTTGATTACTTCCAACGGCTTATCAGTGAGGGTGAGCGCAGGCGTAGGCTTCTGTTAATCTTGCAAAAGTATTTTGCACTTCGATGGTGCAAAGCTCATACCATGCTTACAGAAACCAATCCCCAACTGTGTGTTATCGCACAGTAAAGGGATATCGTCTGCATATTAACGGTTGAATAGCCGTTCTCCCGGAAGTAGATATACACCACTATCATGCACCTCCTTCAGAACTGTCTCAAGAATGTCGTCAATGGCAAAGTTAAGGAGGAATGCAGAACTCAGGCAAACCTGCCTAACCCCACTGCTGGTTTGGAACAATGAAGACAGGTGGTTGTATGCCCTCATCCTACCTGAGATGTTCTTTCAGGATGTGAATAAATATCTCAGATACGCCCCTCCCTAACAGACAGTTCCATGGTACGGCTTTGTTCAACGAATCGAAGTCAGCCCTAATGTCAAGAAACAACAACTATTGGTCTGTAATACGTTTGGGGATGTTTGAGGATCTGGGGAAGATAAACACATGATGAGTCCACGACGTAGACGAGACCTAGACCTCATGAGCCGGGGGGTAAGTTGTCAGGGTTGGATGACTTGTGGCTCTGTGGGCCACCCCTTCGTTAGGTGGGTCAATGTTAAATGACCATGAGGCACGACACACTGCAACTGACAGTGCTTAAGCTACAGGTAGGCTAAACTGCTTAACAAAGTGCTCCGCCTAGGGTCGTTAGGTATTTTTGAAGATTGTTTATCGGGGTACTGTCTACCTCACAGACACCAGGGGTCTTGTTGCCAGTAGCTCGGATAAGCTGGAGCAGCTTCCGGTTACTGCCCGACGCAGTTGCTGCTTTCATTTCACTTGCGTGTTCTGACCACAAAGCTTTACAGTCCTTGTATAAGCGTTGTGTAAACTTTCGCGTAAGAAACTTACGCGAACTATTTTACTCGCTATCCACCGGAATAGACGCGCGTCAAGAAGTTGCAGCGAGCAGTTCAAAGGCCTAATCCCATCCCAGCTAAAATGCTGTATTATGGCTGACGGTGACTCATCACGCGCACCATTGTAATCCTAGTCAACGGTACACATCCTCATTAGTTGACTTATCCCCTTTAACTAAAAAAGGTTGTGGTTCATGCAACAACTGGGATTGTTCGCTGCACAAATACAATCACATATGGTCTTATCCCTTTTATTTCGTGTTGTCCTGTCCCTATTGTCTTCCAGTTTTTCTACTACTTGTAATCACTATTTCCATTTCGTTGCCTTCTCTGTTGTTCATCTCCATTTGTTGTAATGATGTGAAGCGTAGAATGTGCATTTATATCAGGCTGTATGATGTTTATGTCTGTCTGGCAAATGGTGATCCTATTCTTAAATAAATAAATGAATGAATCCCATTTACTGTGCAAGAGTGTTATACTACTCGATTTACACAGGTTCATATTGGTAGAACGGAGTTCGAACCCGAAACCTAATGTTTGAAAATGGGATGTTTAAGTTACTAGACAGCAGTATTCCCATCCGTAAGAATCCTAAATCAGTAGCAACATGGGACCTAGTACTGCAACTGCATAACAATTTAAATGAACATAGCTTGCATTTGCCCAGCAAGATACAACACGACAAGAAGAAGAACTGATAACGTGTAACATAAGAAATGACCTGTTTGCTATAAGATTACGGATTTATAGAATATGTAGACAGGGGAGACAATTATTTGGGGGACATCAATATTTATACTTGTGTTCCTAAAGTTACTAGCAAGTGTTAACAATCCTTTGATAGTATAAGCAGCACATGAGACTATAATACGTTTTCAGTACATACTTCCAGAATGTCTTGCAGTTACATCTCTCAGTAGTTCAAAACTATCATTAACACAAACGAATCCTGACGGCTAAATAGTTTGCTGTTTTGCACTTTTTCTGAACCCTTTAATTCTCTGTATTCTCATTTGAAGTGTTTACATTACAATTAGGAAGATCATGCATAATCATCTTTATAGCCTTCAAAACAGGAGTTTCCCTACATAAAAAACGACAAATGATGACGATTGGATTTCACAGTTCAATGCATCTGAAATAACACATGAAATTACAACCAAGCTACCATTCACACTCAGTCGTAGATCATTGGTTCATATAAAAGACTGTAATGAGTCATAGGTTCACACAGATAGACATAATGGTTGCACCACATGTGAGGAACGCTTTGAAGGTTCAGTATGGTCGAAAATCTGTCTTCCACGTTCAACAGTTGCACATTAAGAGAGCTGGGTGCTACTCAGTACATTTGCCCTTTAATAAGTAGTTGGACAGACAGGAATAGGGAACATGTTAGTACGAAAGTGCATTGGTTTAAATTATCATACATAAAAGCACAACAACAATAATAGAACAATGAAAACGATTGTAGGGAATTGGAACAGGAAAATACAATGATACAGAGACGAGTAAAACTGAGCAACTAGTGTATATTTTCTGTTGATTTTAGACCATATTATCTAGCATACTAAACAACTTAGTTCTATCAGGTGGTGCTATTTTAAAAAAGGCGCAGATACTCAGAAAGTGTATAAATTTTAGTATCACTAGCGAATTGTTTTCTATCTTACACTTACAGAAAGGAATCAATGACATGGAATATGACATTATTTCGTAATAGTCCAAGGTTGCCACAACCTACATCAGTACATCGAGATAGAAGACAGGTGAAAATAGTATCAGAAGTCGTAGAAAGGCAAAAGACGAACATAAAATGGATGTGAAGAATATGAATGTGTGATATTACAACCCATATAAAGGTCCCGAAAGTAAGCCTTTAATTCTCTGAGATATTCAGTATAACAGCCAATAACTTCATGGACTCATGCTGTACTATAACTTGACTGAACGTATTATTTTAGCTCTGACGCAGCTCATATGAATAAAAGAGATACAAGTATTTGAAGCATCCCAGTTGGTAAAACCTCGTCTACATCTGTAACCTAAAGCTAGACTTTCAACTTCGACTTCACTAACTTTATAGTCCCACGGCACTCAAGAGATGCTAAAAAGATACTATCGGTTAAGCATGATATTTAGTCACAGAGCCGCAGCTCACTGTTTGGTTATAGACTCCAGTCCTTGTGCATAGGAACAGCTTTTAACAGTGCTAAAAGCGAAGTCGTTCAATAAATGCTTGTTGAATTTTAAGCATCCATGAATAGAATTCAATAATAAGTTCTTGGAGACAAGTAGAAGTATCACGATGAATGTTGCAGTCACAAAACTTCATTCTCTAGTTAGAATAAGTGTAGGTGAAGACCAGCCATGGAATGTGACTCCGTATTTGATAGACACCATACTCGTCAAGTTCAAAGTATTAACTACGATGACTATATAACTATGAATCAGTGATCCAGTGGCTCGATTTTCAAGCTAACATTAATACTCGATGAATACTATGAAGTACATCTTAATGTTTCATGGTAAATTTTTCTATCAAGGAGAAACAGCGTATACAATTTGAAATGCAGATATATCACGCACATGGCAGAGATTACTTACTAAACGATTTTGACACCGTATAGCAGCTTTGACACATTAAAAGTTGAATCAAGCTTAGAAACCATAAGAAATATCGCTGACGAGATTACGTTGAAAGGCTGACCTTTGCATGAAGATGACAACGATAAAATCCACAGGAAATGTGGATGAAGGCAGTGCTTGAACTGGATTTACTAGTAATTTTAGCCATCAGTGTAAATGAGAAGTACAGTCAACCTAAGTGGCCTCTTTGAGACAGAGTAATTAAGGATCGTCTGCAGGGGACCTTTTAGAATTTCGTGAAACACCGAATAATATCAGGTATAATTTAGTATGCATACCATTCTAGTACTTGTCATACAATAATCGGTATTTTAAAAATCCTGAAAACTGATTTCCATTATTTATCTATAAACTAAACCAGCAGTCACTAGATCGGGACTGTTGTATTATCATGGCTAATAATTTAACTAAACATTTTTCACCAAACTTACGCTACCCACATGTAACACACGATGAGGGTTGCTTGCGGCTATGGTTTGTATTTGTGACGCAGTACAACTGGATACGGAAGACTGTTGCAACGAAGGATTTTCCAGTTTTGGTTGAACTGTTTGGCTGCCTGATTTACCGGTGAATTTAAGCTGGAATTACCGAGAATACAATCATCAAAAACATGCTTCCAAGTCAAAAAAAAAATTAAGGTAAGGTAAAATCTCAAAGAGTAATCATCAACACCTGAGTCAGTTACAGCAGGATCTTTTCTATTCTAAACACACCAAACTCGTCAAATTATTTAGCATAAACATAAAGTTGGTCCAAGAAACATTTAGTGATTCAATTTCTGGATTTGTAAGGATTTGAATCGAAGTAAAAATGCATGTTTTCGAATCCCTAGGAATATGAAATGATTTTCGGCTTTCTATGCATACGAAATGTAATTTAATTGAGCAACTTATTTTGAATTTTCTTCAGAGTAAGTCAACTACGGAATGTTTCGGTAATAAAAAAACATTATTAGATAAAAAGAAATCGAGTGACAGATAAACGTGACCAACAAACGACTCGGCATAATTATGTGTCGGTTTAACCGGCTAGATTTTCTATTAGCATACGGAATTATAACCGCAGGAAGGGCGCGAAGTACATAAAAAGTAGCTGCGTGGAACTTACAGCAAAGACACGCTTTGAACCGTATTTTTTCTCTTACAAATTCGCACTATCCTGTTCGGAGAAGAAATTGCAATTATTAGACATTTTCTGAACAATTCCACATGTTGACAAACATCTCAACGATTGGTTTAGAGAGGAAAAGATTGGTAATTAATAGGACAATTGCAAAACTCTAACCATGGGTTGCTTATGTCTGGATCATGTTTATTGTCTGTGAAAGGTTTTCTGACTAGATGTCACAGAATTCACCTAGCAACTGTTGTTTAAAATCTTTCTGTCAACTCATTGTTGTTGTTTGAGAACGATTTTAGAAAAGTCGCTGGAAAATAATTGTGTGGTGATATTTGAAAGCTAAGGACAAATAACAAGATATATCCTTCCACAAATAAACCATGTAATAACGATTGAGGTCTTAATTTTCGAAACTACTCTTTAGTTTCCTTTCGTACAGTAAGGTCAAATAGCTGAAAACTGTCACAGGAACACTTGTAAGAATGTCCAGTCAATAAAATCTAACTCATGTATAACAAAATATATATGATGCTTAACATGATTTGTCGAACCACATCAAATGTTTGTTAAGAAGAATAACGACCATGGATTTCACCTGCTGATCCTATGACTTGGCCTGGTCACTCTTCACCCTTCCCTACATTAACATTGATGTTTATCGCCCTGCTTAACATTTAGAGATAAGGACGAAAAACGTGATAAAGATGTAACTGGAAATTAACGGGTAGGTCTAGATGTTTGGATAAACAATTAATTTCTTCATCTCGTTTTGTTGAATGTGCCTCAGGAAAGTAAAACGATAAAACACCTTATAGTGCACTGATGAAGACTCTATAAACCAACCAATTCAATCAACATCGAAATGAAACCTAGCATTACTGCATAACCATCCAAGTTGTGACAATTCACAGCATTTTGAAAGATTGAACTACTATAAGCAAGGCAGTAGCAAGCCGTAAGATAAAAACAGAGGGTTAAAGCAAATAAGAGGTTTCATATGACAGTTAGGATTAAGATTAGTGTAATGGGTGGTAAGCTATGTCATCTACAGTCGCCAACCATCAGTTTCAGTTTTCTCATGAACCTCAATCTGGAAGCTTAAATTTCCCTACATGGCTCAGAGTAATAATCAGAAAACTCAAAAACTGACGCCACGTTTAGGTCTAGTCGCCCTTAAACTTTGTCTAGACTAACCCTACCTTAGTCCACATTGCGCGTAAAGTAGATGGTAACTAAGTATGGGTGACATATGTCCTAGCCAACTCAATCGATGGAGGTGTCATTATCCAACCAAAGTACTTGTTTTACCCAAGATTCCACACCCATGCTCAAGTCGTGGTTTCACGACACATGGACCGTACTTCTTAGACGAAGACTGTCAAACAGTGCTCAAGCTTCATAGTCATATAGTAGGACAAAGTGGAATAGTGCACAGAACACACAACCCTTAGTAAGGAATTGGACTTCTCAACAATGTCATAAGTGGTGTAAGTTGGTGAAGGCCGATCAGACTTGTATCCGTGCCCAGGTTTCGTTAGTGACCAATGCATCAGGGTTTGTGCAACTTCCTAAGTAGATGAAACAGTGAAAGTCCTCAACCACTACTCTTCTAATATCGGTTTTCATCAGTCCTGAGGCAACATTTAGCATTCTGGAGGTGAGAAACGCATCTTAAAGTCTCAAACTGTCATTCAACATATTAAAAAAACTCTGCATCTTATCAACACTCTGATTAGAAGTGTATCGTCTGTGTATTCTAAATTGAAAAAGATACTTTTGTTAGATCTTGATACAACAAGAAGATGTAGTTAGTCTGAACCGTGTGATGTATTTGTGCGACACATTTCAAACAATCCTATAACACAAGTACTTGTCATTTATATGAAAAATTAGAGTTAAACGGGTAGGAAAATAATTACCGATCACATGAGTAGACTACGGTGGTTACAAAAACAGTGAAGACTAATAAAATGATAGCAAAAAATCAGTAGCATGATAACCTTGTGTTCAGAGCCAAACTTACCAAATGTTGTGACAAGTTATTTTTGAACACAGTGGAAATGAAATCGGAAATGGATTCAACAACTGTGTGCACGTTCGTGCAGTCAACGATGAGCCACACCTACTGTGTGAGGACTAATGATATTACCTGGCTACTCAAAACTCAGCAACTGCTTCAACAAACTTTAAAATACGTCCCCAGCAGTTCCTATAGATGGTCTTATATGACATTTGTACACTTATTTTATGCCCGGTTTCAATATATTTAGATAATGAGGAGCTAGGCCGTTTGTTTTCAGCATCGACTGCATCAGGCGACCATTTATTTCTGAAGCCACTTTGGAATGTGTTCTGTAGCTTCTATTTTCAATGATCAGTGAGTGCTCTCTATGTAATTGTGACCATACGAACCCATATAACTCACTTAATAGCACATTATAAGTTAATATGACTACAAGTCTTCAAGTACAGTACCTTCAGCAGCATGATGTAGTTGAGAGATACCCCTCCCTAGTGCCACCATCATAGACAGATAGACAACATAAACGTAGTACCTCACACACAAGTTGTCATACTTCACAGTAATATACAAAGAACAAGTGGATAGGAATAACTGATATCGAAGTAGACAAAGGTTTATGGGGTGACAGAGGGGGTTTAAAAAGTAAGATCACTTCAAACATTCAAGCTTTAGAATACGTCAAAGGGTGAATACATCTGCACCATTCTCACCGATTTTCAACCATTTCACCAACACTCCTCCTCAACCACTCATTCGTATCATTTCGCCAACTCCAGTCAGGTAGTCTACACCACCATACAACGCTCACATTAACAGTCAGGGACTTTATGGACTGGTGTTATTTCTAAGTCTGGTTACTCTCAACCCTCTTCAAACCTCATATAACTTCCCCTAGTATGGGATGTCGAGATAGGCGGTGGTTTGGCATGTGTAGCATATGTCCAAGCCATGTTAGTCGATGGACACCTACAATCTTACCCACTGACTTGCCTTCCTTACCTAGTACGCTTCTCCCAACCTCTAAATTGCTCTCATGGTGGTTCCAACATATGCGAGCAGTGTCACTGAGGCACCAGTAACCGAAATCTTGTAGCCGCTTCAAATCTCCTACTTCTAATAGTCATGTCTGACAGCCGTATAACAACAGAAAGAACTGCAGAGCAGTATGCTGGTCCTTTAATAGGTAGTCATATATCTTGCCAGTGCAAGAAAGGACATAAGTTGGGAAGTGTCAAACAAGCCTTGTGTATCCGCGCTGAGATTTCGTCTGCAACCAGCCCGTCCGAACTATCATGACTATCATAAGACCACTCGATCAACGGAGTCAGATGACGCCACCAAGTCAACAAACAATTTTTGATGTCATCTTCCTAAGAGGGGGGTCGATAACAATAAAGAATCAAAATGAAAATATAAAAAGTGAACAAATAAGGATATGGATCCACTCACGAAGCTTACATGTCAGCAACAAACAAGAAAATGAAAGTTAGGAGAATGGTAACTTGAGACTGTGATAGTCATTACTCTGTGGAAGTGGACTGTACACATTTAATGCTGGGTTGTAAAATACATTTACTTAGGTCACTAATGAAGCAAAAACTATCCAATAAATATTGAGTTTTCAAAATTCCAGCTTATCACAAAGCTGGTGACTAACTGCAATATGTGTGGCAATTTGAACCGATGCACTTGTGTGCGAGGTTTTACATTGATTTCGTCCGTCTGTCATAACTTCAATATAGCGCACTTCTCAGCATGTTTCGGTGGATTTGTCCTAAGCGAATAAAGAGTGAATTAGTAGTCAGTCTCATTGGGGCAAACTTAGCAGGAAACTGTTATTGCCCACTAAAACAAAATGTGTATATACTGGTTCAGGATTAATGAAAATACAGTATACAGCTCACTATTGAATAACCAACATTCTTTCCGGTCTGTGGCATCTGCCGCATTTAATGGGTATCCAAAGGTTATCCAATTAGCTGCCTAACGTCTGCACTGCTTCACAAGCAACAAACCTTTCACCTTTACCTTTACACTAGTTCCCTCAAATAAACTTTTCTCAATGCAACTTAACCGGTTAAAGATCTATGTCCGAGGTTATGAACCATATTAATTCTGAGGGCTTATAATACGACTTGGTTGCCAAATCGATGATGATGATGAGGTGGAAGTAGGGGGAGGGAACTAAGACCCACTGCTTGAGCTATGGGTCACTGATTTAAGTAGTTGTCTGTCATCTGGCCGGTCAGTGGTATGAACACCGCTTCAACTACCGAAATTTGAGCAGCCAGATATCATCAGCTCTCATAGTAGGTATGGCTTATTGTCTGCTACACAAATATGTACAAGGTTGCTGAGTTCGCTTCCGCTTGAATGTTGAATGCTAACGTAAATGAGCCACATATCTTCAAAGTTACTTTTGTAATGCCAGTCATCCAAAATTTCTGGATATCTGAGTTAACAACCTGTCAGTACTCATCGTTTACTCAACTACAAATTAGTTTAAGAAGTTTATTAGGCAAGGAAGGCAAATCAGCCGGAGTTAGAACATGTAGCAAATGAAATGACTTGGACACATGATGTACATGTTGAGCCTCCACCTACACAAAATTGGAATGTTAGCCAAAGTAGGATTGAACATGAAAAACGATTAAGATGGTCGGACCAAAAATGACACAAATCCAGGTCTAGATTCTGGTCCGAGTCATGTAGATTGTCTAAGGGATGTCTTCAAGATTATAGAAAACAATTATTCAGGACTGGGTGATTTTATCCTAAATCAATCGAAATAAGGTAGGTGTATGAACTCCTTTTTGTCCGTAAAATTCCGAACATTTGTAATAACTCATTTAGGCATTTAAAATGAAAGATGAATTGAGTGAAAAAACATTCTTTTCAAGTAGTAAGTTGAAACGAAACACTTCACTCAGTCCTCTTACTTTTAATAGGATTTGCTTCCTATAGACTCCTGTCAACCTTGAAACCATCATTTTCCCAGCTTTCACTCATATGTTGTTACGAAGAGTGGCAACTTGGACTGATGTACTCTTATGTCGCGTTTTACACTGATTTATGCTTTATTTTAACCTGCTGAATACTTCCTGATACTTCCAGCTCCAAGGAAACATACGAACCTTAGAAGCAGATATCTGAGTATGTAGGCTGAGAGATTTTTGAATTACTGCTGACACATCTATAAAAGAATGGTACTAATTGGCCTATATCACCAATACTAAATGTCTGTTGAGGTATGACAACTAGGTATCGGGTTCTCAGTACTTTTTTAGGAGTACTTAAAGCGCTGTATTGAGCAAACAAACTTTTTCACTTCGACAGTAGGGTTATAGGCTATAAAAACCGACTAACTGCCTTGACACTGGCAGCTCAGGCTGGAACTTGACTGTGGTACTGGCTTACATGCCAGACTATAGAGCTTCGGCTTCATTATTCAGCTGGTTTTCAGAGTTGTACAACTACGAAGGCTGTGAATATACTTCAGCAACAAGATTGAGAAACTAAACAAATTATGTAACGGAGGATGGCCTGAACTCAAAAGGTGCTGATGGTGCAAAAGGGACTTTGGGAATACCAACTTACATTATGTGCAACAATGGGTATGCTAGTGACTGTTGAAACCATATATAAGAAGAATACCAAATGCATCTGCAGTGGAAATTAATTCCTAGAAATACTTTTCATTCAGCTATCATATCACAGGCTTACAATGTTTGAGAATAAATAAAGCAGAAAATTTGACAAAGAAATCGCAAACCAACTTACGTCAATAACTATTTTGCTGTCTTCCCTTAGCTGGATCTGGCCAGACTGAGATAAGTGCATAATAAGTTCTTGCAGCTTTTGCTGACTCAAAGTTGATCCCTGTGTTCCATCAGGAAGATGTATTGTTACGTAAGTTGTTGAAGGGTCATGATCATCACTAGCAGACACTGGGACCGCAGACTTCGGAGTTACTCCCATAATAAGTTTGTCTAAAGCCACAGTAGCTTTTAGACTTTCATCCTTTAAATCTTGAATGTCTGTAGGACTCGTGACCTCAGATGTTGCCATTGTTTCATCCAACCCCTACAAACAATAACGAATTTTAGATCGCTTTCAATAAAACAAAGGAAAGAAAAGGAAAGGACCACTCAAATCAATGTACATGAGTAATCTCCAAAAGATGTAGAATAACAATCGACCACAAGGACGTCAACCGAGGCGACCTTCCGGAGTGACCTTCGAAGGTCTTCTGAAGGGCATAGCCTACATTCAGTGCAGGATACCCGGCAGCAGAAAGCTGCTAGAAAAAATGTAAAAATGCGAAAAAACGCGCCCAGGAGATACATCCAGCGTACGCCAAGTCACCATAAAACCGATTACCTAAAAATGGCGGCCTCAAAGCGACAAATTTTGAAACTTTGCTGCAGTGTCGAGGAAATATTATTAGTGCATTAAAAGTATACTTATGGAAACGGAAAACTAATATTACCTGAATACATTGTTTTAAAAAGATATATATATCCTTTTGATTAATTGGTATTGTGGCAACTGTTCAAAGTGGACTGATTCTCAGACAACGACTGATTAGGTCTCACCTTAAGATGACGTGTGATCCATTTTAAATTATCTTCTTGAGGCAAGAGTAACTACTTCATGATCGGTTTCCATCTCGCCTGCGGAAACCAAACTGTTCTGACCTCTTGAAGAGAATTTTTTGGAGTTAAGGTGGCGGAACTCACCTGCTCTTCAAACGGCACTGAAACACAGCTTAGGCAGTTGACCGTGTCTGTGTGTGTGTGTGGAAGCTCATTGGGGATTTGTGCCCTACAAGTTTATACATGTAATCAAGCAGTCTATGCCAATTTCAACCCTAAAGTGCTCCAGGTTACTGAGGGCAGTCAGTAACTTCACTCCCAAGGCTTGTTAAATCTTGGAACGCTCTTCCCGCAGAAGTAGACCAGGCTACTTCGTCGGAATTCCTTAAACCCCAATTAGACGCATTCTTAAGAAGTGGGTAGCAGCTCATTCAGAACTAACTCCTTTCCTCTCACTCTGTGCAAATTTCAACACACACAGGAACTAGAGACCCACTGCGTCTAGACACGGAATCCAGTTAAGCGGTTCTTCACTTCCCTCAACAACCGTCTGGGTCATCCGATACCTCTAATACCATGATCAAATAAGCTGAGTCAGAGAATATATTTCTTGCACGAAGTTGTGAACTGTTGAGACCACCGACTGAATTTCGTAGCGTCCGCCTTTTATCAAGACACTTCAAAGCGAACTCGACTCTACAGTGTAGCGTCACACACTTCCCCAAAATCAATAGCCTAGGGTTTGACGAGATTCAACATTGACAGTTTAACTGGACTCGCTAAGCTAAAGGCACCCGGTCAAGCATCCTGGCTACCTGGCACGCTGTTGTGTTACGCTGCACTGCACGTGGTTGACTCTCTAGCCAGTTGGTCGGAACACATCGGTATCTTGGAACAACCATCCAAATATACTATTCCATCCGACTGCACTAACGTGTTCTTCCCTGATTCCGTATTCGTGGGTACATAACAGGTTCGAATAATTAGTGATTGGCCTTTGAGTCTGTCAACTTTCCACCTGGACCATTCCTAAATCGATGAACCTGAGGAGATAACATATCCCGACCAATAACAAATATTGAATTGGTGAGCCTGTTCCATTTTATATTTGTATATTGTTTTCATTTCGATAACATTTATATATCCATCTACTACACTTTCTCATGTCCGACCACACTCCCAAGCTTATCCGTATTAGGCCGACCACCAACATTATCCAACTCGTGCCATATTGGCCAGACAATGCAGAAACATGGTTTTTGTATGCCGAGGCAGATTTTCGAGAACAGGGAGTTGCAGATCCTCATTCTGGATTCCTTGCTGCCATACGGTCCCTACCACGGGGATTAAACAGGCATGTTACAGCACACATGTTTGGTCCCGAGGCAGGTGATCCTTGTGCACTTCTCAAGGCCGCACTTTTGAAGAAAAGCGATCTCACAAATCGTCAGCGCCTAGACGAGTTACTTCGTAACATCGAGCTAGGCTGCCACTCAGCTACTGAAGTCCTCGCACGCATGCGAGAAGTTATGGGTGCACGAACGTTCGACAATGGCCTTTCCGAGAACTATTTCTCTCGAAACTACCACAATTGGTGCAAACCGTGTTGGTGACACTGCAGTCAGTCCCACTCGATGACCTGGCAGCCTCGACAGAAAAATACTGGAGATTTCTAGCAGACCTGTCTCCAGCTTATATTCTGTCTGCGACAAACCAGACAGCCAGGGTTCAGAGGTGACCAAGCTGTGCAACTCTGTCAGACGGTTGCTACGATTCCGAAGTCCTAGTTTACGCAGTACTTCACAGAAACGCATCTTGGTGCATGGCAGCAACTCGCGTGGTCGTCCAAAAACCAAATCTAACAAAGTAGAAGACCCGAAATAGCGCTGGTTTCACGATATCTACCGAGAAGCCAGAAAATGCCGGAAGCCATGCAGTTTCAACATGGACACAAACTGGGGAAACTGTCATTCTAGCATGTGATCACGGCAACCGTAGCCGGCGGAAACAGCCGTTTGCACTACGTCATAGATATAAAAACGAAGGTTCACTGCCTCATTGACACCGGAGCAGAAGTTATTGTTCTTCCCGCACCGAAAAAGGAGCGTCATCACGACCCATTCTTCAATCTCCAAGCCGTCAACGGCAAGGCAATCGTGACCTTTGGGAAACGGTATGCCTACCTCAACTTAGGTTTACGTAAACCTATTCACTGGACTTTCCTCCCAGCTGACGTTTCTATGCCCATCATTGGCATAGATTTGCTAAACCATTACGATTTACTCGTAGATGCTGGTCGTCGACGACTGGTAGACAACAACACAAAGTTATCTTTTGGCGGCACCACCTACGTAGGTCTGAGTTTAGCCATCGTTAGAAATAAACACTAGAGCGACGAGTCCTATCGGGTGGTGTTAGAGAAATGTCCAGAGTTACAACAACCGAAGCATACTCTTCAGCACATAGCCAGCAATTTTATGCACCACGTGACAACCACAGGTCCGCCTGTGGTGCCCAAGACACGCCGTTTAGCCCTTGATAGGCTGAAAACGGTGAAGAGTAAATTCAACCGCACGCTCGAACTAGGCACTATCAAACTCTTGGACAGTCCTTGGGCACCGCCATTTTGTATAGTTCCCAAGGAGGATAGAAACGACTGGCGTCTAGCCGGTGATTACTGGGGGCCTAACGCCAAAACAACACCGGACCGCCACCCGATACCTCATGTTCACAACCTGACTGTGACGTTATACGGAACGAGCGTTTTCTCTAAAGTCGATCTGGCCAAAGCCTACAACCAGATAACCATGGCAGCGGAAGACATCGCGAAAACGGCCATTATTACTCTTTTTGGTTCGTTTGAATTCCTGCTCATGCCATTTGCCCTTCGGAATGCAGCACAAACATCCCATTGCTTTATGGCTGACGTCTTCCGTGGTTTAAATTTTGTCCATGTCTACATTGATGACTGTCTCATTGCGAGTCCACACAAGGAAACTCATTTTAAGCATTTGGACCTCGTATTCGAAAGACTGAAAAAATATGACAACACAGTCAACTTGTAAAAGTGTGAAAGAGGAGTTGAATCACTCAGCTCCCTTAAGCATGCTACTGACAACAAAGGTATATGCCCATTGAGATAAAGTGGCGGCTATCATGGACTATCCAGGGCCGGCCTCTGTGAAGCAGCTCCGTACTTCCAGTGACCTGGTAAGTTATTACCGAAGGTTTATTCCAACTGTGTCTCTGTCATGAGACCACCCACAGATCTACTTCGAGGGACTACGGAGTAAGTGATCTTGGACAGCGTGGTTAAACTTGCTTTCTCTAAAGTCAAGAAGGCCACTTCAATCGCAACCATGCTTATGCATCACGACCCCAACGCTCCTTCGAGCATTCTTGTCGATGCATCTGACTCAGCAACCGGAGCAGTTTTGCAACAGTTGACTGACAAGCAGTGGCAGCCTTTAACCTTCTTCTCGAGGCGGCTGCAAGACGAGGAAACAAGATAAGGTACACTTGGTAGGGAACTCCTAGCTATGTACTGCTCTGTACGCCATTTTCGACATTCAATGGAAGGTCGCGATATCATTATTTTCACAGACCACAAACCGTTAACCTTCTCTCTTAGCTCGGCGTCTGACAAACATTCCCCCCGTGAGTCGTGACAACTGGATAACATCTCCCAGTTCGTGTCAGATATCGGCAACATTTCGGGCGGAATGAACGCCGTAGCCGACGCACCATTTCGAATAGCTTCCATGAGCAATATCGAGAGCTTCCATGTAGTTGAACCAGCTCACTGTCAGAAGGAAGACCTAGAGCAGCATCATGAGTGGTCCCACGCGACCCTCAAGCTACAACTGAGTCCAGTAGGATCAGACAAGGATACAATTTTGTGCCGTGTCTCTGCTAGTCAACTACGCTCAATAGTTTCGAAGAGATGCCGACGCAACGTCTTCAATACGTTGCACAAACTGCCCCATCCAGGTGTACGAGCTACCACTGGGCCTACTGCACAACGTTTCTGCTGACCTGGAATGAACAAATATGTTAGGTGTGGACTCAGTGGTGCTTAGCTTGTCAGAAGTGCAAAGTCACGAGACATACGGAAAGCCCTTTAGGCTTTTCTCCAACCCCAGACATGCGTTTTGACCACGTCCATATAGATATTGTAGGACGTCAACCAGAATCTAATGGGCGTGCCTACCTTTTCACCTGCGTGGATCGTTTTACGTGATGGCCAGAAGCACTACCTATTAAGGATATTACTAAGAAAACTGTAGCTCGTGTTTTCATAGAAAGACGGATCTTGAACTTTGGATGTCCATCTTACGTAACAACCGACCGTTGGCGCCAATTCCAGTGTGGATTATTTCGCGCTCTAACAGCACGTTTAGGTTGCACTCGGTTCCGAACGACAGCCAACCATCCACAAGCAAATGGCATGGTACAGCCTCTCCATCGACAGCCGAAGGCTTTACGTTCAGCTGCAAACATACCTCAGTGGATAGAGGCCCTGCCTCTAGTCCTACTAGATATTCGTAAAGCGTTGATAGCTGATGCTAGATGCACCTCTGCAAAACTCGTCTATGGGACTGCTCTTCGCCTACCAGGTGAATTTGTTTCTCCATCAATTTTCAACCATGTTTCCGACAGGGCATCTTACGTGACTGGGCTTACAAGCGCAATGCGTTCGGTTATTTCTTCTCCGGTTAGACCTCAAACGACTGATGTCTTCGTTCATCCCGCTTGGCAAAAGATATCGCATATGTTCATCCGCCACGACGCCGTTCGTCGACCACTTGAACCCCCCTACGATGGGCCACTCTAAATGATCGAGCGAAACGGACGCGAAGGTACTGTTAGTATCCACCGTTTGTAACCACCCTATTTCGAAGGCAACCCCATTATAAGTGACGTTTCAGCTCGCTATAGCCGACCGACGGATAGCTCAATTATCGAAATTCTTGGCGATGTGCCTGGAAATGCACAGTTACGACAACCTTCGGCGCAGCAGAAAACACGATCAGGCAGAACCGTCAGGTTCCCGCAGTAATGGAGTCGTATTCAACTTAATGGTGTGAGATAAGATGCGCCAACTATATTTTTTAATTCAATTCTTTTTCGGGGCATCATCGGAAGAGTTTTGCCAGTAGAGAAAGCACCGGGTTTTTACTTCCGGCTGGTATCGTCCTGGGTTTCTCACGAACCCATTAGAGGGGGGAGTGACCTGTGGCGTCACACACTTCCCCAAAATCAATAGCCTAGGGTTTGACGAGATTCAACATTGACAGTTTAACTGGACTCGCTAAGCTAAAGGCACCCGGTCAAGCATCCTGGCTACCTGGCACGCTGTTGTGTTACGCTGCACTGCACGTGGTTGACTCTCTAGCCAGTTGGTCGGAACACATCGGTATCTTGGAACAACCATCCAAATATACTATTCCATCCGACTGCACTAACGTGTTCTTCCCTGATTCCGTATTCGTGGGTACATAACAGGTTCGAATAATTAGTGATTGGCCTTTGAGTCTGTCAACTTTCCACCTGGCTATTCCTTTAACATTTCTTTTTTTGATGGTTCACTGTGTTCTGTCGGCCTGTTCTCTCCATTCCTAACGACTGATGATCAATATTCCGGTTACAATCTCTCTGGGAATTTTCGTATGAGCCTCTTGTCTGGTTTTCTCTGCGCTTGTGTATTCAGAAGTGATCTTCGATGCGACACCCCATGCATCTCCTGTACTGACAAACAGATGTGTAATAGGGTCTTTCTACGGTGTAAGTATTTTGCCGCTTTTCACTCTTACTAACAACGGGTTTGCAATGCACGGTATGATGATCATTTCAGAAGTCCCTCCTTACCCCAAAGTCCACCGAGTTGCTTGCGTGAATTTCGTGGTTTCAAATTATAGTGCAAAGAAGCAATTGACTTCATGGCTTTCATGCACGGACATCGCAGGGCCTATTCAGCGTTTATCAGCATGAATAATAATGATAATACTAATGATAATTATTGCTGAATATGCAGGCACACACTAATTTTACTGGTGTGAATAAGTTTTGATATAAATTACACGCTCCTCCATGTAAAGTAATCTCAATCCCCACCTTTTGTCACTAGAAGAGATAGTTTCTGCATCTTCATATAATGGAACATCCCAGCTGAAAAAGTGCGCAGAAAATTAACAAGTTGTATCTCGAAACTACATGTACTACCTGAAGAAAAATGAAGCTTGGAACTAATACTTACATTGTAACAGTTTGTACCTTTTGCTTGAGATAATGATGAGAAATTTATGAAGGAATGTGTGCATGAACTGTTTACATATTGTACTTCATTGATGATTCCAGAACTGTATAATTCATGCATGTTAATACCATTCCACAACAAGATTCATAATCTTGATGAATATTATGACTGAGGGCCAAATATCTTCACTTTTCCAACTCCAGCATTCAGAAGCATCCGGACGGTATTGCATTGGTGACCCCACTTAGACAAATGATCAAACTTCAGTCCTCTCACCGTTGAACATTTACCGAACTGACCAAGTGGGCTGATAAACTTCTTGTCACGTCACTAAATTCTCTTTGTTTCCATTTAAAATGCAGCTGGGACTGAATCTCAAGGCGATTTCGCGCGAAGGACAAGAGTGATGCCTTTTCAATTTACAGGCGCAACGCACAGAAGTGAACATAACAGACAGTCTCCCCGTTAGGTGAACTGCCCCATAGCTCCGATCATTATTGCTCCTCTAGGGATCCGCCAGATGTTGTCTAAGGCAATCACAACCACGAGAGGAAAGAAATAAGCTACACAGATAAATAGCCCTGGAAGCCGTAGTGGCGTGGTTGCATTATACTCAACATGAGGGTTTCACCGGCTTTCACGTCTGCTGCCCGTTAGAAGATGCGAGACTATGCTGGAGTTGCAGACAAACTTTTCTGATCACTGCTTCGAGAACCGGTAGTGCGTGCCTTTTACAGTTTAAAAATCTGAATGCCGGCAGTGGGACGACTATGTTCTAATGAAACGTCGGTCTTCAAATACGGTTATGTACGTGCACGATCATCGTCATCTTAGCAAAAATGACTTTTCGCAATTATTATTATTATGTACTCAGGTTGAATTATTCACCGTTGAAGCCTGTCTGTATCAATAATGAAAATAATTCTAGTTACCGAATCTTTAGGACAGTTGCTCAGTCTTTCAAGTTTCATTAGAAAAACCCGCTTGACCCAGTAGGCATTAAAAAGTGATGTCACTGATAATTTACAATGTGCGTAGAATGAGGATCATGGTAACTTCTTTTCGAAGGAAAGTCCGGTTGCCTCAGCGGATAAGAGTATAGGTAGGGATTAAATACTAAACTGAGCGTTTAACTTCACTGTCAAATCAACCTTGTAACTTAAACAAACAGAGCACCCTGGCGATAAACGTTTCATGCATTCTTTCAGTGAATCGAATCCTTTGAATGAAAAGTAGTCAGTTGGGCACGAATACTCGACGAGATCACTTGGTTGAAAGTTCAGTGTAGAGAACCAAAGAATAGCACTGAAGAAATACGGGTGAGTTCAGAAGTTATCCTTAGGTATTATCGTCCTCGGCATAGGGTATCGCATGCTTCATATAAGTGCGTATTTCCGGCTTTCCGGATGTACGCTTTCCTGGTTGTAAAGTTTTTAAGATGTAGCCCATCTCCCCGCTTTACACCGTTCCTTGTGCAAATTAATGGTCTCACTTCACCTGGGTGGAAAAAAGGCATCGGTGTTCATGAACTGTGAGGCTTCAAATCTCAGCTAAAAAGATACATGATTACAATATTCACTTCAAGCAACGTAGTACCGCGGGAATTAAAATCATCAACAAATCAACGTCCATGTGAGCAGCCATAAAGTCAACATCAGGTGTCTATTGATGACTCGGCGGTCGTTTCATAGAGGAGGATGGTTATAACGGGACGGAGAACAAACTGCTTCAGCAGGGCCTCACCGACAACTTAGAAAGGGGTATGAAACCCCCACAATCCAAATCAAAGAGGCATAGGGGAGTGTACGGGACTGAAAAAGAAAGAAATGAAAGTGAGTTTCGAGCATGCCACCTTCCATCTTCCTCAAGGTTTACACATGGGATTGTGTTCAGCAGAGGGCGGGTACTTGGCTGATCTAGGGACAGAAGTTGATTCCCGAGATACGTCAGGTTAATCTATCGACGATAGATAAAGCCAGCGATCATTCTCACTGGGAACGCTTTTCAAGTGAAATTTGTAAGCAGGTTGAAGATCTGATTCACTCATAATAAGTAAATCCACTTGCACGGTAGTTTTTGTCCTTACACGACAATGAAAGCTTTGCGGAGAGCCCAAAAGGTGCCATCTGCTGTAAATAGCTTAGTCAACGCTGAATTCGATGGCTGCAACTTTTGTTTTTGCTAATTTTATGTTTTGCGGATACTGTTATAGTTCAGTGCTTCTCCGAAGCTCCCCTTGATTGCCACGTCCACATACGTGGTGAAATAACGCAGATACATGTTGTTGTTCAACTCATCAACTAGCACAGTGTGTCTGCTTGGTTGAATTATGTTCTCTGAGCTGGGTTGTTTAATCATGGAACTTTCATCTTCTTTCTAGACGACATTGTCAACACTAACTTAAGTATGAAGTGGTATGAAGTGAATATCTCTCCACAGGCGATTTAATAGCCTTCCCTGAAGTGCTGGTTTGTGACTGATTATTTCCTTTGATTTCTGTGCCAGTGACTGCATCGATTTTCCTGTTGGCTGTTCCTCTGCTTCACAACCAAACAACCCACCTCGGAGAACACAATACAACCATGACCACCCACCTGGGCTACAAATATTCCCCACCATTTCATATCGTGCTTGCTTAAGCTGCACAACACCTACCTAGGGGAATGGTCAACTGTAACGAAGTAAAATCCACACAGAGTTTTAAAAGCTCTGGTTCCGTTCGACCGGAATGGGAAGGTTAAAGAACATGAACGCCTCAGAAGTTATATACCTTAATAATAACAATATTTATTCGTGAATATACAAGCATACACCATTTTTACAAGTATGAATAAGTTTATATGCAAATTACATTCACCTTCATGGAGAGTAATCTGAATCTCTACTCGATGTCACTAGAAGATATAAGTGCTGCATGTTCACATAATGGAACATCCTAGCAGAATAAGTGTGCACAAAATTTACAAGCTGGACAAGTGGAAATATTGTCTTCGCATTAACAAAGAAACCAAATTTGTACCCAGGCACTGCAGGTATTACCTGAGGAAAAATGAAGCTTGGGACTAATACTTACATTGTAACAGTTTGTACCTTTTGCTTGAGATAATGATGAGAAATTTATGAAGGAATATGTGCATGAATTGTTTACATATTGTACTTCATTGATGATTCCAGAACTGTATAATTCATGCATGTTAATACCATTCCACAACAAGATTCATAATCTTGATGAATATTATGACTGAGGGCCAAATATCTTCACTTTTCCAACTCCAGCATCCAGAAGCAATAGGCTCATTTGAATGCACCAAATGGACTTCCAGAACATTTTGTCCGCCATTTTCACGGCTCATGACATCCTTGCAGTCAGTAAGTGTTGGACTTTGCTGGTCACTTTGATAATGTGTAAATCCCAGGTTTTGATAAGCATGAAGTTGTAGTCCAGTGAACATTTTTTGTTTCCGCTTGGTTTAGTAAGGCATTCTGAACGTGGTGAAGCTGGTTACCCTCCATGAAGGGTAGTTTCAGCCATAGTCTGTTCCTTAAGTAATTAATTCTCGATGGCAACAAAGCCAACGTTTAGAACTGAATTATTTTTCTACAACGAGAAAAAACAGACAAAGCAGCAGGCGGAGAAAACAAGAATTGCAACAAGGAGAGTGCTTTCTATTCTCATGCCTCTTCCTACTTGACTTCCCTTGTTATGGTCTTCATTGTATGTCCTTTTTCGATATAGTATTTGAAAATATAAATTTCACGCTGTCATGTGGTGAAGGGTTTCTGTCTTTGATTACCGCGTTGGGTGGGGCAGAATGTGCCGTTAGTTTGAGGTGGTAACTTATGGAAGTCTCAACGCCATTGTAGGTGTGGTGGCTGTCCCGCTATACATTAAGAGAACCGAGTATATGAAGTGTCGTGAAGGAGACTGTTGGTGCATTTGATAAGCCGTAGAAGTCACCAGATGATAAGAAGTCAGCCAGTAACCGACCAACTTCAGGGGATGATTCGGAGGCCTTCACTTTAGCTGGAAGTCTGTTGCACAACTGCGAGAATTTGACGGTGATGAAGTTTGCGCGCAAGCAGGACTCGAACGATTTCATTTTAACGCTGTGGGCGTGATTGCGCAGATCGTAACAACTGTTGTGTTCGAACTGAAACTCACCACTGGCTGTAAAAGTGTGTTTATGTAACACATTAAAGGAGAATGTCAGGTCCATACGGAGTCTGGAGCCTTGCCTAAAGTGGAGAATATAATTAAAAAATCCCTTTCGAAGATACGTCGCGCTTGATCGGTGGCCGGGGGATATTGAGTACTGTTCCAGATAAACTACCGATAAGCATTGCTAAGAAAGTTCTAAACACTGTCAATACGTTCCGCGCAGGTGTTTTAGACCTTGGGAAAAAGATCAATGCCGCTTCCGGTTTCGTTTCTTCTCAACAAACAGCAGATGGCTTCCAAATTCATTAGTTCTTGTGACAGCATCATTTTCGCTAATAAAGACATTACCAGAAATGACTATTAACCAGCGACGAGCATACAATGGTAATGCAGGTTTACAACATGAACCATTCAAAAGTAACCGCTCAGTGGCTAATGATTGTTTGAATGTCTTGAATACTCGACTACGCCCACTCTGACTCATTTCGCTGACACCCACCGGTAAATAATGAAGTGGACGCGCAGCTGGTTTCCCATGTGATAGGGATGAAACCGTTAACTTGAACAAATCTTCATACAAAACTAACGGTCCACTCACCAAGCAAGAACAGCTCTGATTGAAATCAAAAACCAAAAACTCAACATTCCTACTCTTCACAGACAGAACAATAGGGTTCATGGCTCTACTGAAGCTGAGGTGCCGGGGCTCCCAAGATAAAAATACAAGAAACCTCCTTTTTACGTGCCCAAAATCCAGGCTCCCCTAGGAGTTAAGAAACCAGAAACAATATCCTTTAATCATACCAGTGCATGAAAGTGTCCAAAGTTATTTTGCGTCTGGCCCACTTGTGCGCTTATGTGTGCGGGATTACATAGGCAGATTTATATGCCTCAGGTCTCAACTATTTTGGATGAGTCGCTCGAAGACAAATTGTTTTCCCCCCAAGATTCCGACGAGTGAAGGATTTTTGTGTTGCCACAAAGTTCAGTCCTCACAGGGGGGTTGCTATGAATTTCTTAACCAAGCACACTGAGCTGAAATAAAAGCCTGCAGAACGTCTTCACGAGCTAACTGTCCTCCCAAAACTGGGATCAACTTCCTGTTGGCAAACAAATTCTTAACTTCCAGAAACCTAAGAAGATGTCAGGTTAAACAAAACTTTGCTCCACAACATCAGGCATTCTAGATACTCTGAGTGTCCAGATGATTGGACGCGTACAGTAATTGATGAATTTACTCAGCTTTGCCCGCAAGATGAAATACTGATACTACAGAGGGCTCATCTATTGATCCGGTAAAACCAGCCCCACAAAACATCCTTACCGATATGATCAGACTGAGGTGGGCCATATTAGACACACAATGACACAACAAGCTCTCCACCAGTCTGTTAGTCATTTGAACTAGTTAAAATACCACAAGCGTACAGGGTACATGGAACAACTCCCAAGTTTTATGCAAACATTTCTGTATGTAAACACTCATCTTCGGACTCCCGTCTTCCTCGGTATTTTGTTGTTTTCTCCCACCTTTTTCCAGAACACTGCCGGGAAATCAGAAATTGCGTAGCAAATATATTGCTTCACAGGCCCCACCGTTCGACATCGATACTATCACCCTGCAGTCAAGTTTCCGAAGTCTGCAGACGTGTGATGATTGCCTTAACAGACCACCCGCTTTCCATGTCTTTTGTATCATTCAGAAAGGAGCACAGAAGATGTCAGCCACTCATGCCTACAAATGCGGACAGTAAATCCCGATCGTTGGTAAATGTAGCCCATCCAAGTAATATGGAATGGCACAAGAAAGCC